GTATTAGTCATTTGTTGTTTATCTCGCTACTGAACTGGTCAGCCGTTCACACTTCAATTACAGAAAATATAGAATATAGACCAGTTAAAAAGAGTCGGTTATTGGGAACCATTCGTCTGCTTCCTCAACCGGTTGCACTTAACACGGCATGAATTTCAAAGCTACACAGTAAAAATGGGTGAGAATAGGCTGCCTGTAGGTAAGACAGAACCACGATTATTTTGCTACAAAAACTGTGCTGCTGTAAACTGAACACGACTCCACTCGTATCATTTTATTCAAGTACTGTCGTTACTGATCATGTTTAGTTAACTGACCAAGTCGGTTATTTACCTTTTAACTTTCCATCAGTTCTCGCTAGTTTGGGCCGTCTGGGTTAGGGTGGCTCGGTTAGGGTTGCTGTCTGACACACAAGTGCAGTAAGAGCACCTTAGAAGTGATTCGACTTCCACACGCAGACTGGCAGTAACGGTGGCTCTTCTTCTTTTGAATTCAAGTAAACTGCCGCTGCCGATCTGGAGTGTTTGTAGTCAGTAAAGCTGAAGTAGCGGGACACTTTACAAGCGTCCAGGTTCATTGGTAGGTCGTTTAGACCTAAACGCGTGCGTCTCACGGCCAATAACTGTAGCCCTTATTCTCACCAGCAGATATTACAGCATCTAACTTATATGCAAAATATTGCAGAATTTCTATCACAACCAAGCCACATTAGTGGTTATTAAAGATCCACTGCACACTGCCACAAGACTTTAAAAGACTATTAAATAAGTGCACATGGTTTGTCAAAGTGCAGGTGTGTACAACACCAAAGCAACAGTCCATTACGCCATTACCTGCCAGCTTGGCAAAAACAATATTCACCAAGTGTGCAGGACCATTGTATCAAAAAACGGGTCAAGCAGGCTGTTAAACAGGCCTACTTTGTTTTGTACCAATAACAAACGGCAAGATTACACTTCATAACAGTCAGCTGATTACTGCACATATGGCAGTTAGTTTTAAAATGAGTCACAGCATGACAGGTAATGATGGTGAAACACAATGCAGCTCCAGCATTCACAGCCTACAGTAAAGGTGTAACAATTTAAATAGTAGCAAAAAAAATGAAGGTTCAAAACAGTGTATGGAAATTTAAAACTGTATGATTGATACGGCCCTGTGTTTTTTCTGGGCATCTCTTCAGCCACACCTCCATTAGCATTTCTGGCCTAAAATTTATATCACTGTATAATTAAAATTTCTGGCAGTTTTAGTATATATATTACAGCATATATTCAAATAAAACCATTTTAGATGCTTAAGTAAACCTATTTTTGTAGGTTAACAATGGCTCATTTATCTGAGATATCTCTCTTCAATAAAAGGATTAATAAGAAGCATTTTTAACAACCAGAGTAAATCTGAAATAGTAAAAATGAAACTGACCAAATCTACATCAACACTATAGGTGCAACAAATAATCAATGACCAAATTTACTGCCATTTGTTACGAATTTAATTGTTGATTAGCTGGTGACATCATCACATGGTTTTCACGCTGACTCTGAATGCCCTGACATGTAAGCGTTACCGCCGGAGTGACGACTTATCTCTGCAATTTAGTTAGCAGTTAGCTAGCTAGCAGTTAGCTAATGTTAGCGTTAGAACAAGCCATGTTCCTTCAAGTTTCTTCTACTTTGAAATACATTTTCTCTTGATCAATAAATTGTTGAAAACAATAAAGAGCTGCACAGTAATGGGGACAGTGGTATTACAGAAAGCCACAGTTTTGGGGACAAAACAAAAAACATTCCGGAAATGGATATTCTTGTGGGAAACGGTAATCAAATGTCTTAACACTGCGGTAGCCCTGCAAGTGCGGTCTTCCACATAGTTTAATCCAAAACATTCTCAGTTTCTATACTGAGATGAGTTTTTCCTCTTTTCATGATGGTTTAAGTAGTACTTAAATGTGCCCTAAATTTACCATCTTAAATGTTGCATCATTGTCAAGGTGACACTTAGGGCTGGAGAATGTGTTGCTGCCAAATGCACAAGTCTAGGGAACACCGAAGAATTTGATATTTTCTAAATCACAAAAAAACTACAACTCCTGTGAAAATGCTGATTTTAAACACAGAATGGACTTTTCTATCCTTGCCCTCTTCTTTATTTCTTTTAAATTTCTGCAGATGGTTTGATTCATTTGATCAAGAGAAAACTGCTGTAGTTTTCTTATTTTCATTGCTGCTACTTATCCTTAACTTTGGTTTTAAATTTTGACAGAAACAATGCATATCATAATGTTTATTTATCTTTTGAATCAGCAGTAAAGTTCATTAAAAGATGTATCTTTGAATGAAGTATTCATCTTTATTGTCTTTATTGTTAGTTTGAACATGCCTAAAACAACTTTAAGCTACATTTAAAAGCCAATAGTGAAATAAGATCTACTAATTGTAATAATCCATACAGTCAATTATTCGTTTCAATAATCGACTATCAAAATAGTCGTTAGTTGAAGCCATGGTCAACTTTGCTTTCTAAAACTAGCCATGCAGGCCAGGCAAAAACAGCTAAATGGTGTTTCCTGTCTGAAGAAGTTGGCTTCTTATTCGGCAGCTTTTTGTCAGAATAAGAAGCCAATTTCAGCTTGGTCAAATTTCTGAATTCCTGTAACATTTGTGCCGCTGACTGTCAGACACTGCTGGAATTTACAAAATAATACTGTCATTCATGCTTCAGTACAAGCTGGTCCACGGCTCATTTCATACACAAGGCCATGACCGTCTGCAGCTGACAGTTACGCAGCTTCTCAGGCGATACGAGAGGAAACAGTCTGGTGTCTATGTAAGGCTAAGGCTAACCCCAAACCCCAAACTTTGTGACCATGGCCTCAAATTAGACTACTTCAAATGCAACAGAGGGGACAGTGAGAGGGGTTTGAGGGTCTGCTGCTTTTAGATTTTTATCAGAAACATGACTGACATATTCCTGACTCAGTCACTCAGCTAAACGGGATAACGTTGGTGTTGTTTACACCATTTGTACGTCACATTATCTGCACGTATTTACAGCATACCTGTATAACGGTTAGGACAAAACTACCTTAGGAAAAATTTCAACCAGTATATCAAATGAACCAGTATATCACCTACTACTACTCTGTGGGTTGTGCCCTGCGGTTAACAAAAACGTTCCAAGGTCGATACGTTTTATATCACTTCACTGAGTGTCACTGGATTGACATTTGACACAGGGGAGAGATAGGAATCTGTAATCTGAATTACAGTTTGTTTAGCAGTCAAAATATGAATTGCTACATACATGCTAAAAGAAAGCTAACACTCCTGCATATTTAAATGACACATGTAAATCTACTACTACACTTCACACTATTACATACCAGCGCCAGCAACTCAGCTCAAAAGTCTCTTAACTACCACACGGGACAAAGCTTACTGGTTTGGGTATTTCAGTGTGATTGCCAGTCTTTTGTTGTCAGCTCAGTGTACAACAGGGTCAGCTTTGCATGTAGCAATACTAATATTTTGACTCCCTAAATACCTTGTAATTCAGAGTATTCAGGGACGCTCAGTGGAAAATGTTTTTTTTTTTGAGCAATATTAGTGATTTTTCAACAATGTCAATTATTATAATATTTCCGATGAGACTTGTAGGTGGCATAAGTCAAACCAATGTGCATACGGCAAACATACTGTATAATTAGAGCTTTGTAGAGTCAAGACATTTTTAACACGTAAAATATCGGAAATCAAATCAACTTTTGACCTCAGAATGGAGAACCGTATCGAATCTGAAAACGTCTGCATCGTTACATCCCTCACCTACACAGAACACATGTGAAACCTTTCACAACGACAGCTGTAAAGACAGCTGGGTGGATAACACATGGGTTAAACTCCTCTTATGCTGTCCCTGCGGCACCAGCCTGATACTCTAGCTTGCAGCTGCGAAGTAATGATCCAATCACACTGTATGAAACAGTTCACAGAAAGCAGATGAGGCTCAGAAACCACAGCCATTTATGGTGCTGTGAGGTGCGGTCAGCGCTGCATGGCCATGCCCATGCAACATGCAAGGCTAGGGGAATGAACCTACAGACTGTTCTGCTGTTAAAATGCGGGCATGACAGTCTGTGTTGTGTCCCCATCCTCACTGAAAATCACCCTCTGTGGCTTTTTGTGAATGTTATGAGCACATTAGCTGGAAGGTTGGGTGTTTTTTACCATGCCTTCATGTGGGCTACCATAAAAGAACCCAAATTCATCAGTCGCTAGCAAAATAGCCTGGCCTTTTAACTCGCTAATAATTCAAATGACAATCTGCAAAAACAGTCTCCAAACACACGACAAAGTGTCCTGTCCTAAAACTAAAGCCACTAAAGCGTTTAACTGACGGCTAGTGGCTAACATAACATAGCTAGCTAGCTAGCTAAGCTAAAACTACCCGGCTAGCGAGTGTGATTTGACGAGGCTGAAGTTGGCTTCCTAATCGCCAGCTTCTCGTACGAATTTATCCGTTCCACCTTAAATGGTGCAGCAGTTACATCCTGTTGTCAGGCGCCACAATGTAACTGCTGCACCATTTAAGGTGGAACGGATAAATTCGTACGAGAAGCTGGCGAAGAAGCAGCTGACTTCAGCTTCGAGCTAGCAAGTGTGTTTTGCAGAATGGAGATTTATAAACACGCACAAAACGGACACCAGCAGCTACTTTTACATAAAAAATGCCACTGCCCATCTGAACCACGTCCAGACCTCTGGTATCTGGTAAAGAATAAAGCAGAAACAGCACTCCTCGGCCCAGACTGAGTGCTGCTGGCTGTCTGTATGGCTGCTAACGCTAGCAAGCTAACACAATATAACGTTAACTACATTAACGTTCACCACTCACACACAGTCAGTAACAGAGCTCGGAATATATAATTACGGGCGCAGCACAGCGCAGACTACATCTGAAAGGAACACACACAAAACCAACCTGGCCAAATGTCCTACCTGTTTCAAGAGAAGATGGTTTATTTATTTTTATTCCGGAGAGATTTGACATAACATCGCCCAGCTTTAGCAGCAGAACCGCCGTAAACACAAACAGCGGAACCTGCACGTACTGCGCATGCGCAGCGCTACAAACGCTGTCCGTTCTCATGCTTATCTTTTTTATTTTTTTTTTAGTTTTTTTCCTCCTTATGGAAACTACGGAACCCATAAGGTGACATGGTGATTTTTTAAAAATAAGACGTGGCCACGAATTAATATATTGAGGTAATGAATCAAGTTTCTCAAAACCTATGGCCTACATATAGTAATTTGTGGCCTTAATATTGTAAATTGTGGCCTCAATGTAGTAAATTGTGGCCGCAATATACCCATTTGTGGCCTTAATGTAGCAAATTGTGGCCTCAATGTAGCAAACCGTGGACTCACTATAGGAATTTGTGCCATGAAAATAATAAATTGTGACCGCAATATACTAATTTGTGGCCTCAATGTAGTAAATTGTCTCCGCAATATAGTAATTTGTTACCTTAATATAGTAAATTGTGACCTCAAAATAGTAAACTGTAAAATGTGGCCTCAGTATAGAAATTTGTGGCCTCAATGCAGTAATTTGTGGCCTCCATATAGTAAATTGTGGCCTCAGTATAGTAATTTTAGGCCTCAATATAGTAACTTGTGACATCAATATAGTAATGTGTGGCCACATCTTAATAAAAATAATCACCATATCACCTTAAGAGCCCCCTAGGAATCCACAATTACGTAAAACGATATAACCATCAGTCTGGACAGGTACAAAGTTATTAGTGTGAGTAAAAAAAATAATCGAACATGAATTTTTTACTAGTAGGATTATATTTTTTATGTATAATTTTAGTTCTCAATATTCAGAATGGTCAATTCAAAGTTTACTTTTTTTCTTCTAGAAAGTGAGTTCGCACATGTTATTAATTAAAATGTTAATTAATACTAGTAAAAATCATTCCTCTCAGTTTCAATTCACAGAAAGAAGTCAGGAGTTCTTACTAGAGAGAACATCACACGCTACATCGTTACTTCTACTACTGAAATTTCGACAACAGAATAATTTCTTTTTTTTTCATAATCCTAATTCCATCCATACTATTAACACATTTATTTGTTCAAATTGAATTTCTGAAATGAATAACTGGGGATTGCAGCTAAAACAGCTTTCCACACAGACACTTGCACTTCTCTTTTTTAGAGTTTTAGTGCAATTCAGGGATTTTTTAGGACTATAAGTGCAACTGCTCAAACACTTTTTACAGTCAGGTCCAGTTTCTGAACCTGTAATGTGAACATTAAGGTCAACATTCATTTTTATTCTAATAAATAAATTAAACCTATGTTAATGTAAGGTTTTCTCAATAAATAAAAATTCATGAAAAAAGTCAGTAAAAGATTACAAATAATATCAGATATTTTTTTCCCACACTAGGAGAGCAGAAATAAAGGCCCATACTGTTATTTTTTATTGAAGCTTTTCCCAGTCAATAGTCCTAAGACCATTTCACACCCTCAAAAAGTGTCACAAATATTGCAGCAGATTACGTTGCTCTGTACTGAAATTTGCATATTATTGCACAGTGCAATAGGATAGTGTCCCAGGCTTACTTCCCCACACGAAAAGGTTTAGCAACTTGATCTATTTCATAACTTATGTCTCTATTACAGCAAAGTTTTAACAATATAAAGGAACCTTCAGCACATAAAACTTTAAAGGGCACATTTCTTTTGTGTTGTGAAATTATTGTCAAGAACTTTGCTGACTCAGATTTATTTACAGTGGTGGTGATAGGAACCAGGAGTCACAATGTCTACAACACAAATACAGCCATTTTACTTATTATCTAAAACCACCAGTGACCCTCCACCTGCCTTTTGAGTTTTTAATATGTTGATTACGGTAAAATAGTGAAAAGTATGTTTTTTTGGGGGACTATTTTGCCTCGCCACGCTCTACATGCATCCCTCCATCATGAATAGATTTTAAAGGTTTCCATTCTCATCAGACAGCATATTCGTAACTCTCTGAGGCCTAAAACTCTTCAGATGTCTGGTTGCCATCACCACCACTGTGACCAGTTCTGACTCTGGAGTTTCTCTACAATGGAGCATTTCTCACTAAACCACTCTGAATGACTGTTCAGCTAACAGAAAGTGGTGGAAGTGCCCTTTAACAGCACTGTTTTGGATGGTTATCACACTTGGCAGAATGATGTGCGGACAGATATTGTAATCGGACAAATTTGTCTTGGTTAATATCACATTCTGCTGAGCTCAGCCATGCAGATATGCTAGTGTTTGTATTAAACTTTGCTACTCATGATGTACTGGAATTTTCTAATCCTAATAATGGCGACAAAATGTTAAAAAATACAAACTTTCAGAGCTGGCCATTTTGTGTCAGTCATTTCATGACCTTTTTGATTTTTTGTCACTTTAATTGCAAAAATGCCCCAGCCACGCACAACGTAGGTGTTTCATTAAACATTGCTAACTTGAGATCTCTTCAAATCTCTAGAGTGACAGCGGGTGCAGTGAGTAGCGCTGTTGCCTCCCAACAAGAAGGGCCTGGGTTCAGTTCCCTGGCTGGGCAACCAGGGTCCTTTCTGTGTGGAGTTTGCATGTTCTCCCCGTGTCTATGGATTTCCTCTGGGTGCTCTGGGTCCCTCCCACTGTCCAAAGACATGCAGTCAGGCCAACTGGACACGCTAAATTGCCCCAAGGTATGATTTTTTTTTTTTGTGTCTGCCCTGTGACTGGTAACCTGCCCAATGACCGCTGCAGCACAACCCTATACCCACAAGAATAACACTGCTTTCAGAAGAAAACCTCATACCTCCACAACAGTAACTTTACAGAAGGGGGAAAAAAACCTACTTTAATGTAAGTCAATGGAACTAGACTTTTTCCCCCCCCAAGTAATTCTGGGCCATTTATTTTGGTTCACTCTTCATGAAATTTACACACAATGTAAAGGGCAACAGGCATTTTCAAACTACGTCACATACTGAAAAACAACAAAAACGGAGATACAAGGTTTTCTTCCAACAGCAGCGATAAGCAGCTTAGATAGTGTGTGTGTGAGAGAGATAATGATTACAACTAGGTTGTTAGTAACGCATTCATTCACTTTCCTTGCCTGTGTGTGTTAATACTACAGACAGCAGTGGTAGCTCATTTTGAGACCTGGAAAACAAACGTAACCAATAATGTACTGGGGTACGCTTGACCATTAATGCCAATGTTTTTCGGTCAGTCAGTCAGGATTTGGTCCATATCAACCTTCAAGGCACAGTAACAAAACAGCCTCTTAAATAATGATGAAAAAGAGAAGTTGGAAAATGGACATGCAGAAATATTAATTAAGTACATAAACATGAAAATGTTAAGTGGACTCTGATAGGGACTTCAGTAGAGGAAAACAGATGAGCCCTTTAAAACATTACATTTTGATATTTTAACTGGTGACCATGTAAAGCAGCATACTGAAGGCCGCTGGCTTCAACATTCTTCCTTTTTGAACATGCTGGTTTATTAAGCTGCATTTGCAGTTCCACAATCCTCCACCAGATGCCTCTACATGAGACAAGTCAAAAAGGAGGCGAGTCATGTAATGATGAAAGCGTTTTATTACCTCAGCATGCAGTTACACATCATGATCTTTAAGTCATCATCATGTCATCAGCTTGCTCGGTACAGTTGAGCAGACCTTAGCCAAGGTATGAAAAGCAAGAACGGGGGGGAGAAAAAAAACAAAACAAAAATAACATTAAGAATCCACTCTGCAGCGGCTACAGGTCCATACGCGTATCAAACTCAAGCCTGCCTTGCATGGCCAGAAGCAGTTCAGTGGTACTTTCAAAAGCAAACGCATTAAAATAGTTTCAGTTCATATTTCATCAAAAGATAGTCCTAAACCTTTAGAATCTCTCTCTGATAAATATTCTCTCATATTTAAATATAGTTGATTATCATAAAACTGTGCAGTTAAGTCCATCTAACGATGGCTCTGGCTGTATAAACTGACGGATGTGTACCATCTTGTATTACATTTACAATTAAATCGAACAATAGATTTGCAAAGGAAATGTCTAATACAGACGTAAAAATATTCAAAATACATCAGCTCCTTTTTCACGGTCGTACATATGACAAGCAAGCGTATTTATCATTATGACCATCAAAGCCTGCCAAGTTATTGCAGCTAAACAAATTTTTAAAATTCAAAATACAAAAGAATCATGACATTTCCAGTGGAAAGAGCAGAGGTGTTGTTCAAAGATCTCCTAAGAAAACAGAATTAAGTGCTGCAGGCAGATAAAAAGCCAAGTGAGGCCTTGTGGCAGGCATGTGCAAGACACCAACAGCAGGGGGCAGTAGAATCACAACTATGCAATCACACCAACTCATCTGCCAGCTATACACACACACACTTCACACATACATCTTCAAAACGTAATAGCATCATGCAAGTACAACCCAAAGCTGAGAGCGATCCAGCTCAGAAACTAAGAAAGCAATCTGTTGTGTAAGGCTTTGTGAATCCGAACAAAAAGTGTGGATAAGGGAATATAAAATGCTTCCAACATTTGAGCTGAATAGGTCTAGCTAAAAATAAAAAAAGTGCCTTTTTTTAACTAACCCTGCTCCAAAACCCCAAAGACATACACCGGCATCAGAGAAAACCAGACAAAAGCAATATATCTAACTGAAAAAGCAGAATTCCACCCATTTTCCAAAATTTGTTCATGATTCAATTGTTGCGAAATCGGTCATTCAGAGTGGTCCGATGTAAAATGGTTCATTGTAGAAGAACCTTCTGACTCAGATTTCTTTACAGTGGTGGTGATAGGGACCAGGGGTCAGGATGTCCATAATGCAAATAGAGACAATTTATTTACTATGCAAAAGCAAAAAATGAGAGGAAAAGTGGCAAATCTGAAAACATACATTTTTCATTGGGAGCTTTTTTGTATGTACCTCTCCACCATAAATAAATTACTAGTTTTAGACCAAAACCTTCTCAAAACCACCATAAATCAGGCAGAGTATTCATAGCATGGTTCTGGCTCACTGTGAACAAATCTCTAGAACAGAGCATTTCACATCAAACCGCTCTGAATGACTTTGTTTACATCTTAAGCATTTAATTATGCACACTTCTGAAAAATCAGTGGAGTTCCCATTTAAAGCACACTTGCATTCAAATTAATCAGTGCAGAAGTTGTAATCAGTAGCTTTGCCACAGCTCTTCTTCCCTATGAGGAACAAGGAAGAACAACGGCTGTAAAAACAAAACAAATACGCACCTGATTTTCAGAAGGAACTGTGAAAACACCTTGGCTGGGACTACATTCAAATTTCAGCTATAAATTCTTTCCTCTTTCCACTCACATTTTAATCAGCATCTTTAATAACTCTTTTGGTAAGTACTACTTGGAAAGAGTGTCAGGACAAACTAATAGAGCCTTGCAATTTTTTCCTTTTAAAGCTTCGCATTTTCAAAAAGAATTAGGGATGGTATGCAGAGAGTCTGCTCTACACGCTCCTACCACAGTTTAAACAGTCAAGAAATGGTAGACATCTGGCTGAACACAAACACAAAAAAAAATTAAGGGTCCTAAAATGGTTTGTGGCTCGGATGGAAAATTTGTATTATGTGGAGGTTCTTTAAATTCGCATGTAAAGCTGGGTGATGCTGAAAAAAAATCAGTATCATTTGCAAACAATATTTCAGTTTGCTTTAGTAAGGTATCAACTCGTTTTTCCTAAGTGCTGCTACTCTGGCGGCCTGTTTTGACTGGACTGTTATGTTCCATTTATGTCTTGTAAAATTACACCCAAGGGAACCTTACACAATACTGTAAATGGTAACCAAACAGCAAGCACATTTCCAGAAAGGAAACCCACTATTTATTTAATTTTTATGGATTTTAAACTGCTCTTTCAAAACAACATGCAGGATCTAGTACACTGCATACACTGCAGTTAAATGTCAAGTCCTGGACCATGAGTAAAGCACAGAAGAGAGAATTAAAAGCCTAAAACAAACTTCTAAAAGGACACTGCTGTTTTGTGTGCACTTTTTCAGTGATATATGGCTCATTATCTACACTGAATAAAAAATATTTTTATTAGACTGTACTGAAACCATTTGCATGTAGCAGCATCACATTTCTAGGAAAATATTAGATTTTTAGATTTTTTATTAACACTGCTGCAAAATGAAACAACCAAGAGCGCTGCATTTCTATTTTTGTTGACTATATTAGTTATACTACCAACAATAAAACTGAAAAGCAATGGTATGGTATGACAGTATCGCGGTATAGACAACATATCACCAGCTCTACACACAGGTTTGAAGAACCTCCACAGAAATGTTCTTTACACTTGCACAGTCCATTAACCAAAATAGTTCTTTCAAGGTTTTTTTTAGGGAAGTGGTTCTCAAAATTGTCCTTAGGTACCCCACGGCAAGGGCTGAGTATTATTACATTGGTTTCAGTATCAATATCAATACTTTAATTTTGGTACTGATTAATTTTGGTGATGAACGATCCTTTCATCACTGCCTTATTTTTTATTAATTTTTAAAAATAAATATTTTAGAAACTAGAGTGAGGTGCTGAACGTGGAGATATTTTATATTCAGGGACTAATCAAGAAGCACTGACACCAATAAAGTCTACAATTCAGCCAATCAGCAGCCTCGATTTGGGAACAAGCACACTTATCCGCTCACAGATACTAAGATTGTCGGTAACACTGAGTGGTCCTTTGTGGATAAACTCGTAACAGTATCAGTAAAACATTAACAACATATCAGTGAAGTAGCAGTACTGCAGCATCTGACTATACTGAAGTAAATATCCTGAAGTTATTCAGTTGATACATTACGTACATTAAGTAGGTGTATTATTAATGTACCTAACCTAACCCTCACCCTGGCCCTAATCCTAAACCTAATCTTAACCTCAACCCAAAATCTAATCCTAACCCTCCTATGTTTTCGACATGTTACTGAGAGTTTGTTGAGTGTTTCATTTCAAAGGACCACTCAAAATATAGTGTCACCAGATTGTCTACTAGACTGACACGGTACTGAAATTCAGTACTGAACAACAATTTTTCGGTATTCTGTAGTTTTGTAGTAATTCCATAAAGCTCCTGAATTTCAACACCCAGCACAGAGCACAAGACGATCCACAATTTTGCTTGAGCCCAACCCGACAGATGGTGATGGAGCAAAATTTTGATTGTCTGGGGATCTTTGTTCTGACCACTGCTTTAGGAAAGCAAAAAGTGGTTCTTCTATGGTGTCACTCCAAAGAACCCTTCCTGGCAATGAAAAACAATGAAAGGCAATCAGGTATCAAATTCTGACCAGTGACCAGTTTTACGCGGTAAACGATGTAATGATGTAAGCATGAAAACTGACAGTAGATACAGACAGAATGTCTACTTTTAGACAGTAGAGACCAGCTTGGTGCACACATGCAGTAGCTCCTCTACCTCCATCCACTGTATCCACATTGTATGTTTTTAAAAATATCCTATTATAAATAGGAGATATGTCCCTAAAGCGAGGCAACTACATCTTTCCCTGAAGTTGCCACCCGTCCAGAGGGGGTGTGGGGGGTGGGGGGTGGAATCCAAAGAAAACGATACCAGTTTCAGTGCACAAACCCTTTTTTGGTCAATGCAGGACTCAATCAGACCACCAATCATTTCAGCCTGTGATGGACAAAGTCATTTTAAACAGGCAGGCAGAAAACCTGCAGAAAATATGAAGGTTGACGAAGCTGCTTGGGTTGTTTTCTACTGACCAAATGACAACGTGGAAGGAAAAAAAGAGGCTCCTGATACAAAATACTCGACAAACAACTTCACGGAAGTTAGCGATGTTTCATTCGAACGAAGAAAACGAAAACAAACAAAAAAAGATGCATCAGAGAATTTTCATAGTGAGAAGGTGGCAGAGTACAGCAGCTCGTGCTCAACCTGAAACAATAACACTGACACTAAACTAAACAAGGAAGACCGCCGTGAGAAGCTGAACACTGTTAGTGCTTTGACACAGGCAGAAAATAGGGAACTAGAAGAAAAACAGGAAAATAAAAGTGCCAAGTTCCGTGTACTGTTAATACAACAGCCTATTCTCAAGCAAAACAATGCTTCTAGTATTTAGAACTAGGCAACAATAACTTCCTGTGGTGAGTTTCTTTATAAGAAGTAACGCTGGCTCATCAGTAGTTGGGGTTAGATTTATATGCAGTGTTAAAATCAAGGCATTGCGAAAAGCAGAAGTAGTTAATCGGGTCACGATGGTCACTGCGCACACATTAATGCTGCCGTATTACAATATCTGACGTCACACAGCCCCAAAAACAAAGACAAAAGATGGCCTGAAGATGGCAACAAAATATACTGCACGACTTCCCAGGCTCATATGCAATAAATGGGTTCATTGCAAAACCTGATAAACGCATAATGAACAAAAAGCACACGTTACATTTCATGCATGTTAATTCAGTGGCTAATACTGCACCGTGACATACACAATGTACAGTATTTACTGAGCACCTGGCTTATTCCTCATACATACATACTGTAAACATTGCATCATATCTAAAGGAACCTGCAGGCAGGAACTGCAATATTAGTCTTTATGCAGTACATTTAAGTGATCAGCAAGAACCTATGTTTTACTACTGAGCTGTTGCGCAAAGTTAATGCAGCCTTTCAGTGGCTAAAGAGCGGCACCAGTCAGGATTCAGATTGGGTGACACAGACAGCTTGGTGACCTGAGATGGGGTTGTAAACGTAAACACTTTTGCATAAGTGATAAATGAAGGGAAGGAGGGGGTGGGGGGTGTAACCGCTAGCCCCTGGTAGCTCTTATGAAGAGAATTTGAAGAAATACATTGGGTTTTTGAATATTTTTATCCTCAAACATAATTACGGAAAACTCTGGAAACACCAATATTCTCCAACAAATACCAACACACACACTGCAGTAGTGTGCCATATAAACTTTCGAATTCCCAAACTTCTCCTTGGGAATCAGTGTAAATCTGTGTCATTTATTTGGCTCTGTTTCTGAACCTACTGAAGCTACCTGCTCAGAGAACAACTGTGGTTGCTGGAGAATGTGGAGCTGGTGTAAAGAGGGCTTTTTAAAACAAAACAAAAAACTGACAGCTTGAGCTGTGATCTAAATATTACAGAGGCCTCATGGCATGACCCTTTGGATCCAGAGGGCATCTGGAGATGAGGACAGTGAGGTTCCTCTCAGCTCCCATTCAGAAGCATCTCCTTCCCCAGGCCGGGTCCTGCCAGGTCCACAGGCCGTGCTGAGCTGGACTTCATCGCCAGACCTCCCACACCAAGGCCTCCAGAGCTTAGGCCCCCAGGGGAGAGAGACTTCCTGCAAGAGAGACAGCCCAGTATTACTGATACAGTCTGGAGAAAAGGGTGGGGTGGGGGGGGGCAGTGTTTCTCCACTGAACATCAATGCAGCCATACCGTTGTATACAGAAGTCTAAACACCCCCTGGTGAATGCATTTGCTTAGTTGATTTTCTAAGTGAAGTTAACATCTTACAGGGAACAAACTTAAAATCTCTATTTGTAACATGCATAATCACTGGTACTGGTATGTTTTCCCTCCATATATTAAATTCAGCAAATAAACTGTAATTGTGCATTAAAATGAAAAGAAGTGTATTCTCTGTAGAGAAAGTGTTAACTGATTTCCAAAGGAAAAAATAAATAAATAAATAAAAAATAAAAGACCAAACACAAAATGTACATTTGGCCAGGGGCACCCAAACTATTGACTACAACCACACAAATAAAGGGCCCAATCCCATTTCACCCCTACCATTAAGCCCTTAGCCCTCTGTTTTGCATGTTCATGCCAAGGGGTAGGATGACAGAGTTTGAGAGAAAAAAGAAAAACCAGAAACAGATGTATGTTTTCTCCACTAAAAATTTACGATAACCATATTACCTTAGTTTAATGTCGATTCCATTTATAATGGCGCTTTTCTTCATAACAAGCATAAAAAAAATAAAATCACTAATAGTATGCTAATGCCTCAGTAGCTAGCTAACTAAATTTCCCATTCCACCTTAAATAGTCCAGCAGTACTGACGCCTGAAGCGCCAGAACGTAACTGCTGCTCCTTTTAAAGTGGAACAGCAAAATTCAAACAAGAATAGCTGACTTCAGATATCACCAAAGAATTAGAGGTGGGCGATAAATAATTATCATGTTCACCCTCTTTGAATGCATACAATGCCCTAAATGTAACTAAAGCCAAGCTGTGAGGTTGCTGAACTTTAGCTTCCTCTGCTATCACTGCAGACAGGCATAGTCGCCTACAGAGCACCGCTAGTAGCCTGTTAAGTAACTAGTAATATTAAAGCTCTCATTTATTTGAGTGTTGTCCCTTTTCGCAGAAAATTTCAACCTCTACCCGTCGTAACCCAGTGAATGGGATTGGGCCAAAGTCACAGGTTTAACCTACAAAATGTTTACAGGTTTACTAGAAGTGGGACAGTATAACAGTTCATGTCAGCGACCGAAATTACAGTTTTCAGTATTTTTGCTGTATTGTTAAGCCAATTTATACTGAAAACGGTCCAAAAGCACAATTTCACACAAATAATTATGACATGAATGACTTAATCAAACAGCTTGTATTTTTTATAGCATCAAAAAAGCAATAAATATAAAATAATGACCAGTGCTACTACTGTTTACTGCTGTGTAAACATGCATTCTTCTGACAAATCTTGATCACAAATACAGATAATTAGACGAGAACAGCATTATCTGGCTAACCTAAATGCCATCTTCTTTAACAAATGAGCGTCCATCATGTGGTCAGGTAAATGCTGGTCAATCTGTGAGCTTGCTGCTGGATCGCTGAACACGCTGGAGAGGTGATTTCCGGTCCGCGACTCCAGAGACACCTTTGAAATAAAGATACTTCGCTGAAGTAAAAACTCTGAAACATTAAGTTAACAAATGAATTGGCAGTTCCCGCTCACTCAACTCAAAGAAATTAATGAAAAGTTGAAACTCTGGCAAAAGCTCTCAGACTGGAGCTCCAGAAACTACCCCAATTATACTTGTAGAATATCATGTGCACTACAGCAGCAACCTCAGGCTGATGTTCCATCACAGGTGAAGGTCATGTTCACACTACAAAACCCACACCTTAAAACAGAAATAGAACATCTGGAATGTTATTGTCTACCTCAGACTGGTGCTCCTGTGGTTGTGACTCCTCCATGTCGAGAGCAGAAAGCTCCAATTCAATGTCCCGGTCTGGTTCACTCTCAGTGCCATCTCGAACTAGCAAGTCTATGCCCTGTTTACCTCCAGTGCTGAATGAGCTGCGTCTGCGATCACTGAAACACACAGATTCACACAACAGTTAGTGCTAAAATTAACACTCACTGCATAACACATTTTGTGCCTGGTGTTCTCAGCCTATAAATACTCATTGATGAGATCAGGTGAGAGAATCAGGTGTTCTCCCACTCAGAATCTGCCCTATGAGTAATCATCATTGACACCAAACACGCACCAATCTAAATCAGAGTAAGTGAAACAGAACTGAAAAAAAGAGGAAAAAATGATTTGGTATATTTTAATGCAAGCCACAGGAAATGATCAAACACACTGCTAAAAATGATGAACAGAGATAAAGGCCAGTGCCTGCAACAGAACCCTCTTACTGCGGAATTCAGCAGCAGTAACCAGTTAAACCAGGGGATTTTTCTCTTGGCTTTTCTCTTTTTCGGTTCCACAAAGGATTTACACACTTTTTCTTTCTGTAATTTTATGACTGTTTCTAACTGAAGCGGACACAAAATCAAACAAATGGATGGCACAAGCTGATGTTTAACCTTTGCCAAATCTAAAAACATAAAATGATATATAGTCATCTTTAATTTAGCTATGTAACCTAACTGCAATTCATCTAGTAAGAATGAACGCAAATACAAGTGTTACTTTAACATCTGTAGCATCTGCAGCTGCTAAGATTTACGTCTTTTGAATGCTCTGTGCCAAGCATTCTACAAAACAGCGCCATCCTCAAAATGATTATGACGACGACGACAACAACAACAGTACTTATAGAGCACATACAGGTGGCAGCTCAAAGTGCTTTACAGACAGGTGATAACGTTTTACAGTAATAGACAAGAAAACACCACATCAAAAATAACAGATGTAAAATTTTAAGTGAACACCAGGTTAAAAAGATTCTTGTGAACTGAGCTTGACTGTCTAATAAAATGTCTAAATGAGGTCTACAATAACAAAGCTGCCTCTCCATGTTTTCTGTATTTTATGGAAGGTGTTTGCAGAAGGCCAGTCTCTGCAGATTTAAGATAATGTGTTGGAACACAGACATTCTGTGAGGTACACAGGTCATCATTTAGAGCCTTAAAAACTGGGGACAGAATTTTACAATCTATTCTGATAACGGTAGGTAAAGGTAGACAGTGCAGTTCTTTCAAAACAGGAGTGATATGATCTCACTTTTTTTGTAAGGATCCATGCGGCTGTATTTTGCTGTTGTGGAGATACAAGCTATATAAAAAGAAATTTCTATATAGTGTATCACATTTTTTGGATGACATTCCAAAAGTGATTGTTTTCAAATGTACAATCTGCAGATAAAAAAAAAAAACAAAAAAAACATAGCAACAGCCTCAATTTGAGCTGCACACAAAGAGTAATCAAATTTGTTACCTCTCTAGGAAACTGGAGCGGCTGGAGTCGAAACCACACGGACCCCACCGGCAGTCGCCCCGCTCAGTGTGACAGCTATAGTCTGCATGTGGGTTAGAAAAGGCACGGCAAATGATATATCAACACTGAAAACTTCATGTAACACTTAACAGCTTACTTTTACCATTGTTAATGGAAGAGTTAATAAAGAGCAAATAAATAAATAAATATACAGAAATCAAAGCTACACCATTTTCCCTTTAGCCCAAAAGTGGTAGATCAGTCTAGTGCTCAAAGTTTGCTTCTTCAGTTTTGCTAAAAAACATTTAAACATTCAGGTTGCTATTATCATATTGAGCCATGCAACAAACTCATCCATTTTTAAAGACAACAATAGGTCATACCATGAGATTACTAATAACTTCATAATACAGCTTGAGGCAAGTGCAATACAGGTATGCAGTTTGCATCTTGTAAACTGGAAGGGAATAAATTTGCACTGTTTGATAGCTACACTAGTCTCAGAGCTCAATCACAAAAAAGAAGTATACTTCGTCCACCAAACCACAAAACAACTACATTTGTGAAAATGGGAAACTTGCGTAAATTTGATTTTGTGCCAAAGCATTCTTTCAAAAGAAAAATCTGTGATGAGGACTAGACAAATGCCACACGCAAAAATATCAATAAAATGCATCCCTTCAAAAATGTAAAGAGCAACTTCTGCTCTGTAAGGCCACAGCATTACACAGTGCCACACTCATTAACACAGTATATTCTGTTAATTGGTTAATTCTCAACTGGATCATGGCTTGTTCGAGGTGTGTGAGCACAGAAAACAGAGTGCAGCGATGTGGCTGATGCGAACCTCTGAAATTGATAGGTGTGGTGCTGGTTCTGCCCTGTGCGGCAGTGGCCTGGACGGGTTCTGTGGTGTGGTAGTCTGTGCGAGAGGCACGGGAAATGGCACCCCACTTGGAGATAATGGGTCCCTCTCCGAAGGGGATGATGGGATCCTCGTCTTTCACTCTTCTGTAAGGGTCCAAAATGTGCAGCCAGTGTTTACCAGCGCCCTCCACATCCTGCAGAGAAATCAGCACAGAGATCAGAGGTCAGTGAGCATGCTGGAGGGTTTCCCAGCTTTTATGTTACTTGTAGATTTTTTTGTTACGTATATATATTTTGTCAAATAACCCCAATAAGTGTTTTCAGAAGTTCTCCACGAGGCTAAAGCCGGCATCCTAATTGCCAGCAGTAATTTTCTGCTTCACCTTTAATGGAGCAGCAGTCACATTCTAGCGCCTAGAGCAGAGGTGTCAAACTCTACCACTAAAGGGCCATATAAAAAAATCTCAACTTCGTGGGCCAAAGAGTATTTATATTTTAATACACCAAACTGTCAACAGCAAAATATAGTCACTTGTGGTAAACCTTCAAATATAACCTGCAAATACCTTTATCTATTTAGATCCATTTAGGCTACATCAGATACAGCTAACAGTCTCTTTAAATGTCCCCAGGATGTAGGTCTTTTAAACCTACATCTGTGCTGGATCTAGATACCTGCCATCTTTTCTGCTGCAAGTTCATCCATTCTTGGAATCAGTTTCTGAGCTGTGTTTACAGTGTTTATAATGTTTCTAGTGTTTATAGGGTTCATAGTCCTCAGGTCGGTTAAACTGCAGCTGCAACACAGCCAGTGTGTTTGGTGATGTGACGTGTAGAACTGGATAGAAAACTGCTGTCCCATAGACTGTCGAGGGAGGGTGGTGTCAGCACAAATGACGTTGCAGTGGACATTGGGGATTGTAGCGCAGCCCATTGTGAAGCCGGCTAATATTAATGGAAAACCAAAACAATTTCGGGGGCCGGATAGTATTGTGCCATGGGTCTGATCTGGCCCACAGGCCTTGTGTTTGTCACATGGGGCATAGAGTAACAACTGTTCCATTTAAGGTGAGATGTAAAATTCAAGCAAGAAACTGCTGAACAGGAAGCCAACGTCTGCCTTGTGGAGAATACACAGGCCACAGCAACTACTTCTTCAGCTACAGACTAAAAAAAAATTGAAATGCAAAATTTGTTAACATTTCTTTTTTAATTTAAAATGTACCGTAATGCAAAAACAGGTACTGTATCATGAAATGTGCATTACCTATAATATAAATCTTAATCTAAACTATAAGATACAAGAGGTATCATCCATGTTGAGCCAAAACAAACCTGTTTAGTATTTTGGCTCAAAAAAGGAAACATTCATATTTCAAATGGGGTGCAGACCACAGTCAACAAAACACAGAGAGAGAGAGAGAGAGAGAGAGAGAGAGAGAGAGAGAGAGAGAGAGAGAGAGAGAGAGAGAGATTCGTGTTGCCTGTCACGAATGCTCCATGTGACTCTATGGCATTTTATGGCAAGTTTCATGACTGCTGGTCATGAAAACCATTGCCACGTTTGAGTTCAGAATATTGTCAATCAGAGGCTTTGTCGCGAAGCGTCTTGCCCGTGGAGTTCGCCAACTGCCACATGCGTGACACGGCGAACGAAGCCTCCACACGTCTGCGGTTGTTTTTTTTTTTTCTACGCAATTACGTCATGTTGTTCACTGAAGCCCGGCGAATGTAGTCTCTGCAAGTATGCTGAGGCCTTTAATGTGACTGTGGGGCAGAACAAAGAAACAGTGTGAACAAGATCTGGAGTGACTTACAGCATGTTGGGAACAGGAGTGGGTGGAGCCAAGAGGCTCCAAGTCAAACGGGCTGACGGTGCCACACGACCAAGGCGAGTAACGGGCCACCTCTCCGCCCCCACATTTACAGCTCACACAAACCCCACTGTCCACATGCTAGAGACAGAGAATAAGAAAGAGAAATACAGTGAGATGTTGTGAATAGGAGATTTCATCCTTCTCTCTCACTCTCACACCCACTAAAATGCAACAGGCTGACATGAAAAGAATAGCAGTGAAGAGTGAGTCAGCCAGCACAGGTCTCTGGTGCCAAATCTTCTTCTGTGAGCTCTCTCTCTCCCCCTCTCTCTCACACACACACACACACACACACACACACACACACACTTCTTTTACTGGAGAATTGCTACTTGCTCAGATTTATCAGTTGCTGAGCAACAGCTCCACTTTAAATAGCTTAACAACACTACAGGAGGAGGATGCTTTGGTGTTAAACTCGACAAAATAATACTTTCTAATGGCCAGTTCAACATTGCACCCATATGAAGCATTAACCAAAACACACACACACACACACACACACACACACACACACACACACACACACTCATACATGCAGTAGGCTTACCTCTGAGCAGTGATCCACAGCAAAAACAGGCGAAGATTGTGCTCTGGTGTGGTTGTTGTGCTGATGTGGCCACTGCTCCTGTTTGAGTCTGTACAAATCCTCACAGCCGGGCGGTGCGCGCCCATACGAATCCTGCACCACATACAGCAAGCCTTACTCCCACATAAACCACTTCAGACAACTGCAAACCACAACCTTCCATTTCAAAAGAGCTCAAACACTGCTGTGAACATAGGCACGCTACCCATCAGACTTACAGAATTTAACTGGCAATTCTTTACAACCTAACTGGTTGACAGATTTTTTTTTTTCAATAGACGGGTTCTATAAGCTAATGTTTCAACATACGAGTACTGTGCAAAATTCAGAGACCACTCTTCATTTATTTAATTCCCTGTCAAAACATCCATTATGTATTAAGTTTTAATTTTCAGGAGATTTCTAAAACATTAGATATAATTCCACTTGCACAAAGAAAGAGGAATGTCAAAGGAAAATAAAAAAATATTTTATATATATTTCTTTAGCCTGAAAAGGCTGTGAGCTGTAATAAAATGACACTGAAAAATGACTAACTTGTACTTAAAGGTTGTACTGGAAATTAAATAAATGATGGGTGGTCTCTGACTTCTGCACAGTACAGAAAATCACATTTACTATAATGGGCCAAACTGACTTAAATTCTTAAATGAAAAATCAGTGTATTTTACATGAAATCAAAGAGTGTTGCAGCAAAAGTAAGAGGCAACTGGCTAGTTAGCAAAATGTGTCATGTTTGGATCAAAAAATACGATCATGACCTATTTTGATCACATAAAACTAAGACAGTCATGAAGACAGTCGTATTTTTATTTTGACCAAACCCCATGCAGTTAGTCGCCACCTCCACATCACTTTTACACTTTAGGTGTTAGTATTACTGCATGAAGCTACTGGTAGTCCCAGTATTAATTAGGCTTTCAATTATGATATGTTATCACCAATAAAACATTACAGTTTATCACTACTGACTAATCAATCATCAGTCAATTACTAGGGGCCCTACCCTGTGCAGTGCAGCCCTCCTGTCTGCCGCACTGCAGTACGGGCTGTCCAACGAGTTGAAACGCTCCCGGAGTGGTGGCTGGTAGATGGAGGCATGCAGGACCTCCAGAGGAAGAGAGTTACTCCTGCCATCCTGCCTGTGGTAGAGCTGCGGCCTCCAAACCCGCCGGCTGTCATAGACAGGTGCGTAGACCCCGTGTCCATGGGGGTGGGTGTGGTGGATTGGTGTGTAAGCAGGTGGAGGGAAATGGGCAGGGCCTAAACGGTCCCGGGATGGGAGGGAAGGGGGTGGCTCCTGGTAGGGTGGAGCCAGAGGGGGCGGGGCAGAAGAGTCAAAGGCAGGACTGGAGCGGGAAAAGCGTGTCATGGAGGGTTTGTGTGGATTCACCAATGATGGGTAGTAATTACCTAAAGATGGAAGGAGGAGAGGGAAAAAAAAAAAAAACACCATGAAGAGAGAACTTGTGACCTACTTTTAGGAAAGAGAATAACTTACTGCTCCATGATAAATGCTCTGTGCTGCAGTATGTGTCCAAATCAGGTCTGCTAAAGTAGGGAAAACTAATAAAAGCACTCCATTGTGCTGCAGCCTTCCAAAAGTAGAAGATCTGGCCACTCATTTAGTCTTTCGCTCTTAAATTAACAAGAGTAACCCAGCAACAACTGACAAAGTTCATCCTAATCACCAAAAAAAAAAAAATCAAATAAAATAAAAAAAGTTCTCTGAAACGTTCTTATGATACATGCAGTATTGAAATCTGTTGGAATTACACCACAGCAAGCAAAATAGCTTCTATTGTTTTGTCACTATACTTACAATAAAAAAAAAGGCAAATCTACTTAACGGTAAAAGCAGACACAGAAAAGCCTCCCCTTTGTTGTGGAGATGTTACACATAGTAGCCACAATAACCACGAAAAAATAAATAAATAAACAAACTTGTGTGCTCTTTGACACAAAACTATTTATGTGGTTGTCTGATTTTATCAATGAATTGTGGCTTTCAATTTCAGGTGTAGAGATCTCTCCATTCAAAGAGACAGAAGCCTGCTCTTGTATGACTGGAAATGACTGCCAGGGGAGGAGCCAATTTTACTGCTGAGTGGACAGACTTTCCTAAATAGAGCTGCCGCTCATAGGAATTGAAAAGTCAAAGGAGCCAAGAAGACAGAAGAGTTATATTAGTCGATAAATCAAAGAATAAACTGACAGGTTGATCTGACCATAGAAATAACTGATGGTTGTTGTTCTAATTAAGACATTCCAACAGACAAGCATTCTGAAACCTAAACCTTGGAGAAACGTTTCCAAAGCCATAGTAAAAATCAAAAACCATTTCATGCTGCGACACAGCACAAGGATATGCGTATATGCATTGGTGTGTGTTTTGGGGCACACAGGCACTCACCAGAGGGCGAGCAGGGTGACAGTTCATACGGACTGTGCTGCTCAGTAAAGTAGCTGACCTCAGTGTGACCCCTGGGCGGAAAAGTGCTCCGTTTAGGCAGCGTTGCTCCACTCTCAGCAGGAGCTGCAGTGGGGTGTGGCCCCAATACAGCTGCAGTTTGACATGGACTGGCTGGGGTCTTCGGAGGAGAAGCTGCTTTCCTAAAAGCAAGAAAAGCAAATAATTTGAAGAGTTTAAAAATATCAAAAAAACGTGGTTCTTAACACTTGTTCTGGAGATGTCCTACCTAGAACAGGGTATTCTGTGTTCCCAACACTCCTGATACAATACAAACTGCTTATGCCCTGACATTATCAGCATCAAATGCTAATCCAGAACATTTTTAAAAATAAGATAAATCACATTTATTTTTCAAACAATATATTCCTTTTTTGAATGCTTAGTTAAGTAAATTAATGCAGCACTCCAGCTGGCTTTCTGATACATTTAATCTGCAACGATAAACTGTCAAACACTAAAAAGTTGCAAACCTGAAGCTTCTGATTCGCCAGCTTCTTGGTCTAATATTTCTGCTCCACCTTAATTGGTGCTGCAGTTACATTACGGCGCCTCAAGACCCATTTAAGATGGAACGGAAACAAAAAGGTGGAGAATGAGAAGCTGGACTTGTAATATTAAAAAAAATAAATAAATAAATAAATAAAAAAACAAATTGAATGTTGAGACATTTTACAAGAAATTAATGTTATTTCCCAGCAGAGATGCAAGAAAAGTGGCTATAGCTGTACTAAAGGCTAAAACAGAGCAAAGTAAGTCCGTTTACATTTTATTTATATTTTTATTTAGTCTATACTAGTACATTAGCACATACTGAGACATTTACAGCCAAGATGGTAAAATTGACATCAAATGGCTCCCAAGGTGGTTTGATTTTTGCTGAAAAAACTAAATGGCTAGTCTTAGGATTTGGGTTGCCGACCCCCGACTTGGACAATCAACAAAAAGTAATTTGACCCCCTTTTTTTTTGCATATTAGTGCAGAATGTAATTTCGTGACCTGGCTAATACTGTACTCCCTAAATGGGGGGGGGGACGACAAAGCTCCAACTGAAAACTAAAACTTCATTCTAGTCGAGGTTTATGCTACCTGAGGAAGAGGAAGCAGCCTTGAACAACAGCCTTCATATATTAAACCTCTCTTGTTTCCCCATTCTGAAACTCATGAGCTTCCACTTTTTTTCACCTGTTGGTTTGCAGTTTAAACCAAAAAAGCTTTTGATTTGACTGAACCACTCCAATTCCTGAAATACAACAGACAAATCCAGGTTTTGATAAGTGCAATAGAGGGCAATTTAGAGTGATTGAGGACTCTCAGAACGCTCTTAATGTTGATCATGAGCTCAGTGCAGCGTGCCGGTGTTCTCAGACTGTAAAATACTCATTGATGAGATCAGGTGAGAGAATCAGGAGTTCTCCCACTCAGAATCTGCCCTATGAGTAATCATCATTGACACCAAAACACACACACAAACACACTCACTCCATGACCATATGACAGTCATTTAATGAACCATTATTTACTGAACAGTACTCAATCTTCTTATACAGATTTCTCAGTTATGATGGAATCATCTACAGCTGTCCATTTCTAAATGTAACATTTAATTTCTAACTGTTTATCGCCAACCTTTCTATTTTTATAGCTTCCTGCAAACAATCTGAAAAATATGACTTTGTAGATCAAACTAGAATCATTTTATACACATACACATATCTACAATCAAAGTGATTTTGTAGTAATGAGCAGCTGAATATACGTTAATGTTCTGTTTTATATTTTTCCTTAAACCTATTTACTTTGATTAAAGAGACTCATAATTTGACTTTTGTTTGCTGTTATACTGTTTTACAAGTTTAAATATGTTGTGAAAAGTTATCACTGAATTATTATTGAAGTGATTACGGAGATCTCACTGGTCTTGGCTGGGAGTGGGAAGCCCACTGGCCCCATTGGGAAGAGCTAGCAGACCCTCCTCTTGCTCATGCTCTCCTCCTCTGGGGACGAGACGAGTTGGGGATGAATCCTCTGAGCCCAGACCCTCCTGCTCACGGTTCTGCGGACCTCCCAGCACCGCATCCACAGTATGGAGAGGAGACTTCATGGAGCCCGACTTGGGCACAACTGTCTGAGGCAGAGGAGACGGCCTCATCCCTCCACTGACCTTCTTATTCCTCATTCTGTATCTGAGAGATAGAGATAGAGAGAGAGAGAGAGAGAGAGAGAGAGAGAGAGAGAGAATAAAAGAGAAAGAAAGACAGCGAGAGAGAGAACAAGAGTTTATTTAAAACAGGAAAGACCGAAATAAAGAAAAAGAAAAACTAATGTATAAAGAAAGAGAAGAACCAGAAACCAATTAATAAAATGTATTAACAAAATTAATAAAATTAAGCAAATGAAACGGAGAGAAAGAGATGAGTGAATGAGATGGAAACAAGAACAAAGCAAAATAAAAAGTAAGAAAAAGCAAAAATGGAACAACGTAGAGAAAGGAACGAAACAAAGAATGTGAGAAAGAAAGATAGAAAAAAGAAAGGAAAAATACAGAAAAGAAAGCAAGAGTGATAAAACAAAGAGAAAGAACAAAAGAACAAAAGAAAGAAAATCAACAAAAGAAAAAACAAAGCAAAAAAACAAGAGCAACAAATAAGTAAGGAAAAGATAACAGATTAAAAAAAGATTGAAAAGAAGAAATAAAAAGGGAGAGACAAAAAGCATAAAAATGAACAACACGAAGGGGAAAAATGACAGGATTAAAAAAGAAAAAAGGAACAAAAAGGGAGAGAAAGAGGGAGTAATGAAGGGAAGGCAGTGAGACGAGCTGAGGGAGAGTGTGCTGTATTGTGTGTTGTGCTGTGGGTGTGTGTGAGTGGGTGAGTATGAATAAGAATGAGGAACAGAAAACACACTTCCCTCTCCTTCTGTACATCATACAGACCCTCGGCACTCATATCTGAGCATATATACACACACAGACGTTACACTATATAAAATCATTTCACTCAGTTCACTTCTCTTCAGTGGTTTTGTGAGTGTATGTATAACTAATAACAGAATAAATAGAACTAGCGTTAATAAGTAGTTATTTTATGTATGTCAATATGTTTCCAAATCTCTCATTAAGGAAACCAGGTATTATTTATAGTTATCATCCAATACTTGGACCATCCATCCTTTATTAAATCAGGCGTGCTGGAGGTGGAATTTAACACAACTATGCGATGGCTGGGGACATCAGAGAAATCTGGCACCAACCCTGTGTTCTTCTCATCAGCTCATAAGAGATAAAGTACTTTTTTTGAAGACATTTTTGTTACTTGTCACTGCATTCATGGTTGTTTAAATATTATATGGCATTTTTACTGGTAAAAACAGGTACTGTCCAGATAAAGGGTGGTAACTAAAGATACTTACACAGTACTGGAAATATCTGCAGGTTCTTTTATGTTCACATGCTTACTCACCTTTTCAGTTTACTGTAAGAGCATGTACAGTTATTGAGTGTCCTTGTCTAGTTTGTCCTCTATATGTATGCGTTTGTGTTTACTCACTTCTCCAGCTCGTCCTGGGTGTGGGCGAAGGTGCAGTTGGCTCCGCGTGGGCAGCTCCCCTGCTGACGGAGGTCTCTGCACATGCTGGTCTTATATTTGCTGTTGGGCTGAGCCTAGGATACACACATACAAATCACAATTTGCTCTTTAGGAAAAATACAAGCACACAAATTAATTGAAAATTACAATTTAAATCAAAATTTAGATCAATTTTTTTTAGGAATTTCAAAATTTTTAATGGAGACAGGAGCAATTAACCAAAATGTACAAGAATCAGGTTACAGGCTATTGCACAACAGAAACGTCAAGAGACAATGACCTGAGATCCTGATGCCACTTAGCATCTTACTATTACTGTACTGGACTGAAACCAGACCACAAACCCATAGTAGCTGACATGTAACATGGAATTCATAAAAAGAAAAGTGTTAATCTTTATTCAGTTCTTTAAGACAAATAAATTGTTATTGTCAGTTTTTATCCAGGCTAACTTCATTAGCATATCATATTTTATGCTGCAGTCACATGCTGGTGGTAGACAGTAACAGCAAATCAGACATTACATTGCTTTCTATTGGTGAGGGAAAGGTCCAACAATCGAATGGATTTTAGACATGTCTGTAACAGTTGTTTCACTGGCCAAAAAAGCTCTGACTGAGCAGCTGGACCATCGAATGGATTTCTGACGACAGAAATTTGTCATTTGTCTTTTGTCTTTGAGAAGATCTGATTTCTCAAAGTTGCACGCAAACCAAACACAGTTTCTACACAGGTAAAAAAATACGTAGGTTAAAAACAAAGAAAAAAACAGAGGCAAAAGTCAACTTTTGCGGTAAAGTTTGCATTGTTGTCGTACAGACTGAGCATATAAATCGTAGGCTTCGTCCGTGCTCAATGGTCTATACAAAACACACACTGAGAGCTGTCGCCAAAGAACAAGTTTTCTAAAACCACACGGTGCATGCCTGGCTTTAGTTAGCTGATAAACCTGCTTTAGTCTGGTACAGCAGCCTTTCTGTGTTTCCTTCTTTGGAGTCGACCTATAAGTAACTCTGGCCTAAACATAAGATACAGGCTCTACACTGCCTTCTGGTGGAGTTCATCTCTCAACTTTTATCAGAAAGTATAACAGTAAAGATAAACTCATTTGCATTTTGAACATCAAAATTTACAATTTTTTTTTTTTTTTTATCTTAAATTATCAACCTTTCTGACTCATCCCTAATAAGCACAGGCACTAGATCAGGAGCAGCACTCTGATAATGACTCCACAATATTATGACGACTAATGATTATGCAGCAGTACCTGAAAGGTTTCATGGCTCTTTTTGCTGAAGTTTTGGATGAATTCGACCAGACCGTGGACCACGACCTTGACCGCCAACATCACACTCTCCAGTTCCTCCCAGGAGGGTGCAGCTGCATCTACAAAACACACACACAAAAAATCTCTGAACTGTCCTTGCGCTCCTGTTGCGCTCTGTGTTTGTGGCGGTCGGGACCATAAGGTACTTGAAAACACCAGAACTGCAATTATTTTGTTTACATTGTGATAGAAAGATGCATTGGAATATTTTAAAAATGCACTGGTTAATCAATGTGACATTTCATACTGGCCAGCATTATTTTGACCAAAATAATTGACTTTTGAACTACATTAACAATGATTAATGAAAATGCCTGGAACTGTGATTAGTCAGGATGATTGGAGGAAGGGTTCATTTAAACACTGCAGAATTCTACGATATCAGTATTGCAAAAAACAGTATCACAACAACGATTAATAAACAATATATTGTGCAGTCCTAGTGCATGCGTCTGTGCACACTTACCTGGGTTATGGTCAATACCAGCCAGCAGCTCTAATGGAGCTCGTAAACTGTTGAGATTAGCTGGGTCGCCTGTTCTCTGCAAGACTATGGTGAGTTCTTGGACGCTTTTTGCAAAGGATTCTGGGGACTGGAGCTGGCAGTAGCATGTGAGAAAAGAAGAGATGGGACTTGATTTATATGTAAGCGCTGTTAGAACCAACAAACACATAGCATGTAACTTAGGTGTCTCTGCAGTCATAACAAAACCTCATATGTCCAAAACTGTGAGTTCATAGAGATTAAGAAAAAATGTAACTTCAGTGTACAATGATGTTACTTTTGTTTAAGTAATTTTGGTCCATTTCTCTTGGTCAATGAATAGTTACACACAATGTCAGTAAGCCTGGAAGTTAATGTAAATTCAGACACACTATCACCTGCAGAATTACTGTGAGACAATTAGTATGACTGAACAAAGGGGACAGCTAAATAAAGGCAAAGGAATAAAAAGGATGTCACATCCCACAAAATGTGAGCATTTTCTCCGTTAAATAACGATAACCATCGTAGCCACTGTAGTTTAGTTTAATGTAACGTTTCAAGGTCCTTTTCTTCATAACAAGCATAAAAATCGTTAATTGCATGCTAATGTCTTGGTAGCGGTGGACGATAATAAATCATTGTTGCATCCCCCTCCTTTGAAGGCATATGATGCCCTAAATGTAATTAAAGATCACCAGTGAGGTTGCTGAACTTTACCCTCCTCTGCTATCACTGCAGACTGACAGGGTCGCCTACAGAGCACCGCTAGTAGCCTGTTAACGAAGTAATGTTCTTCTTTATTCAAGGGTCCCATTTCATAGGGGAAGATTTCAACCACTACCCCTTGTAACTCAGTTCCAAGGGCCAGGTGGCACTCAAAAACAAAGAGGAGTGGTACAAATAAGAAATGGGATTGGGCCTATATGTTATATACTAGGACTACTATAATTCACTGTTAATAATTATTAACATTACTTATGAGGTTCTGTTATGACAGCAACAATACAGTAGCTGGTGTTCTCAGACTATAAAACTCATTGATGAGATCAAATGAGAGAATCAGGCGTTCTCCCACTCAGAATCTGCCCTAAGAGTAATCATCATTGACACCAACCACGCACACACACCACAACGTAGAGTGAATGCGGAGGATGTGGGACAGAACAAAAAATGGAAGCTCTTTAAGGCCAAAAGGAGGACGTAAGAAATTGCCGTTGCAGCAAACAAAGCCACATAACTGACTTGTGAACAAAGCAAACTTCAAAGCAGGCTTAATGAACCTCGACTGGTTAAATGAGTCATCAGCCACCACTAAATACGCAGCTGAGTAATCTGTAAATGGCTGACTGTCTCTGAGTAGTGTAGGAGTGTTTAAGGATAAAGGAGTTTGTATGAAAGGAGGCAGGCCGTACCTTGTCAATGATTGACTGCATGTGGGACTTGTGGACGAGGTCACCATACAGAAGAGATGACCACTGCTCAGGAGAGATGCGAAGCCCCGCCTCCATGGCAATGTGGACAATCTGAGCGTCATGTTCCCGCCGCAGAGCCTCATATGTCCGGAACTCCTCTTTCAGCTGCATCAGAGAGGAGTCTTCATCACGCTTTGTCACCTGAGGAGGAGGGGAAAGGAGAGAAGTGAATTCACACAGATTTAAAGAAATCAGCCCAAAATCACATTAACAACTCTTTCACCAAAGTTTACTTCTTTACTACTGAACTGGTGCTAGGATGCTAATGTAGCTAACAAGAGGATGTTCATTTATATTTCTTCTACATAGAGGATGTGTTAACTTCTCACTTAGACAATTAATCTACACTCAATGCTACATTGGATGTGTGGCTTGACCTTGTACAAGAACCTGCAAACAAGGAACCGTTTTCTTGATGCACTCAGCGTAAGCACTGGCACCACTTTCTGTCTCCTTCCCAACCATTTAAAAACTTGAAACAGGGACTAAAGCTGGGCATACATTACATGACTTAAAATCTTAACAGATTTCTAAAACAAAGAGAATCACAGACTTAACGTCAGTTTGTCACAGAGTTTGTCTTTTTGTCATGAGGGCGCTCACACTAGACAACTGGGCAAAAAGTGAGTACAACACAAAACGAGTTTCGGCTTTGAATAAGAACTCAAACTCTTACATCACCTCAGAGATCACAGGACACAAATGAAGCTAAACTTACTGGGGCGGGCCTATTTATGCTTTTATGTGTAGAGAAAGCGCAAACTGGGGATTAATCTGGGGTTCAGAAGTGCTGATATCACAGTGAGACGTGAAGAAATAGAGTGATTTTAAAAAGATTCATCTGATTTCAAATGATGTATTTCAGTTGTAAATCATTACAGAAAAGTGCAGTTAACTGTAAACGGTTTAAGGGAGCATAAAGTTTATTATATAATTTTAAAAATTACGAAGTGCTCAATATGACCTCCTCCAGCTGTTCGGACAACATCAATGTGATAGTCAAATTCATCCCATACTGGATTTAGCATGTCGGGTGTCACTGTACTCACGGCTCTTTCAATGCGATTTCGGAGATCATCCAGTGTTGTGGAACCAACAACGAACGCTCTGAGCTGTTGGAGGTTCACTGCCGATGAAAATCACATTGCACAGTTATGACAGATTCACTCTTATTGAAGTGGAGAACGCAAAACGCTTTCTGCTCAGGAGTCACCATCTCCTCACAGACTGAATGGAGCCATCTTCCGATGACAGTTCGAAACTCTATGACCCCGTCTTTCAATTGGTATGTGATTGGTTCCTAGGCGCCTCACGGTTGTAAAAAATATTGCGCTTTGAAATCGGATAAATCTTTGAATCACCCTGTATTTCACTACAAACTAGGAGCTGAGAAGAAATTGTAAAGAGACTAACCTGAAGTCTGGATCTATATCTATATATATCTATATATATATATATATATATATATATTATATATATATATATATATATATATATATATATATATATATATATATATATATACACACACACACACACACACACACACATCATATAGCGTAGGCCCAGCCTAATGCGACAAACCTTTCATATTACTTACTATGCAGTTTGAGAGCTGGGTAGTTTCCACACATGCTGTGGACCTCACCAGACCACCGTTCTTGGGAGGACCAGGAATAGGTTCAAAAACAGCTCTTCCACTCGTACCAAATACACCAAACTCACAGGTCAAATGGGTAAAAGCACATGCCCTTATGGTCACACCACATAAAGTAATCTAAATTGACTTGGCTATGTTGGTTCTAACACTGTATGACATCTAAATATCTATAAAAATGGAAAGACGTACAGACAGTACAAATAATATTTCATATGGCCAAAAAACACAGACAAATCTACTGGAAATCTACTGCTGAGGTGAACAAGGTTTATATTCAAATACATACAACACATCACATAAATGAAGAAGCAAACTTCAGATTCCAAACATCTCCTGGCTGATCAACATTTTACTTAAAGGAGGAAAACGGAATAATGCATTGTCTCTTGTTTAAAATAAATGTCACTCTAGTCCAGAATAAATCATACAAATCAGATTTTATGGATAATTTGGAGTTCTAGATGATTCAGTGCTGTGAGTACAGTGTGCCTGGTGTTCTCAGACTACAAAAACTCATTGATGAGATCAGGTGAGAGAATCAGGTGATCTCCCACTCAGAATCTGCCCTAAGAGTAATCATCATTGACACCAAACATGTGCACCTGCACTTCCTCAACTCTGACATTTAATGAACAACCATTTTCTTAACAATAAACAAATGGCGATCTGTGACATACATGGCCTGTGTACTTTCAGGAAATGTTCTCGATAAGGAACAGTCTATTTGAGGAACTCGCTCACCGACAGCTTCTCGCACACACCTATATTAGCATTCCAACGCTAGCATCAGCTATACTACAGCACAGGGAGTGGAGTTCCCAAAAACAATCAACTTCAAAGGGCTGATATGAACAGCCATGATGAAACTACTAGCCACCCATTTGCATTACGTAACTGGCTACAACTGGCAATCGCTGGCTACCACATTTCATTAACTCTAATACAAGATTAGCATATTAAACCAAACTACTCCTTTTACCAAGACACTGCATTCTTTTCTCCAGTTAAACGTTGTTCATTGTGCTCTTTCAAGACAACCGTGAAATGTACACAACCAAACATTTACTCCAGAAAACTTGTAATTCACTTTGTAAGTAGGTTTTGTTTACCTGCAACCACTAAAATAATGCAAAATACTGTTTGTGGTTTTTAATGTTATGTTAGCACCAAGCTAACAATGACATATTTACATTTTATAGCAGCTCTTGAGACTACACACTTGAAGCTTGTAACAGACATAGTAAAACGCCTCTCTCTTCTTATTATTGGAGTCTGTTAGCTAAGCTATCTGCCCAACCGGCTTTAGTGAGGAGAGAACATGGTCCAATTAGCCCACCGAAAGTGTGTTAACATCAAAGTGTCTGCTGAATTAACCACTAAACTACTGTTAGTGTTTGTGAAACATGACCTTACACTGCTGATTTGCACTGTCTGGTCTTCCAGATGCATCTGTAGGTAAAATGGCTGCTGTGGTGGTGAAAGTATGAAGGCTGGGTGAGTAGAAGCGTTTATTAGAGTGGGCAGGAACTCTATGCTGGGTGTGACAGCATTGAGCAGCAAATCCTAACAATCAGCAGAATCACATGGTTTATGTAAAAGGATTCAGACTTCACAATTTCTAGGACGGTAGCCATAATGGCAAATAATGTCTATGTTAACTGACAAGGAGAATGTAGTTTTGCTTACTAAACTTTAAGATAAAAAGATCTTGTTTCTTGTAACAGGCTCAAAAGTAAACAGACCATACTGTGACCTTTCAGGCAAAGCATTAACCCATTCATGTCCTACTTTTCTTCACAACCAAATTTGGATGTCTATTATTCAGTTTAATCAGAAGTCCCATGGGACAAAAGAACTAAGTTTAACGATACACTGAAAGATAAAAACTCACTTTAAACCCCACGTTGACTTAGAAAAATTTCTTCAGATTTGCACTCAGGCAATTTCAGATAGAGATTTCATATGAGGATAAAGAAAATTAATGGGTCAAACTGGCCTCTCCATCCCTGTGATCAAGCAGTCAAGCAGGCCCATAACAACTGCTGCTGGTATGACGCAAATATAGAGCACTGGTGCATCCTGAAATAAGGGGAGCATTCCTGCCCTGCCAAGCATGCCGTGCTTACAGGCTAAAGCAGCACGCAATTAACACTCGCTTTCTAACTGTCCCCAACATACGTGCTTACATAACACAGAGATCGAGTGACTTGGTCTTGTTGATTTCAGAGCTATTCTGTTACCATATCACATCAAGCTTATCTTGACAACGTATGTTCAAAGCTGCATTTCATAGCTAATCAAGCAGCATAATTAATATACATGATTAAGGCATTATTAACACCACCCCCAGTGAGTACTGCATCCCTCTATTTATACCCCTGATATACCGAAGTCATACCAAATAAGCTAAAAGCATCTCTCTGCTAAACTGTCCAGCTTAGCATGTAATCAGGGGATTAAACTAAAGTGATGAATGGTGCTTGTTATGGCTGTTTGAGCTCTAAACAAGGCTCACTACTGCTGAAAGGACAGTGAGGACTTTCCACCTTTGTGTTCGCACTCACACGTGTTTAAATCTAACCAGCATGTTTACTCTCCAGATGTAATTAGAAGGTAAAGTATGCTGTTAATGATAACTGGCTAACAATAAATGAAGATCAGCAACCACTAACAGGCATGAACTCAAGGTGTAATGTGAGCTAAAGACTATTAGCTTTAAAAGGTCCCTTATCCTACATTTTTCTTGTACTTTATCCCCCCCAGGTATACTTATGTTTACGTACCATATTTCAGTCATTTTATTTTCACATGACCATTTCAAAACCCTTTTCATACCTGAGAATTAAACAGGCCATTTTACTGTGCTTTTAAATGGCTCATAAGCTTTTTTTATACATTACATGTATTTGACACAGCCATAATTCATTTTAGATCATTTTCCAACCTCTCATTATCTCTTCAAATTACAATGGATGTTTGTTACTGTGCCTGTAAGACCGATGAAGGTAAGTGAGCTTTGTTTGGATTGGCTGCTCTGTATTGTGCCTCATTCAAAAAGCAGTCCAGGCTGAAACACTGCTTATAACTTCAGCATGAAGGGGCAGAGCTAAACTACTGTAACATGAATGGGCAGACATATAAATGTAAAAGTTTTCTGATATCACATTTCAAAACAGGCTGTTTTTGCAGTTTAGTATGGACTGTGGAGAGAACATTATGTTTAGATTTTTTGGCAATGTTTATAGATCACATCAAACTCATTTGTTTTTCCATGATAGGGACCCTTTAACATGTAAGTAAGCCTTGTTCTGCTTATTTACACTCCTTATAATTTCAGGATCAATGTGTGGTGCTAAATTTACGCAAGTTGAATAGTTAAATGTGCGATTTTGTTGGTGTTCATGACATCACAAAAATAATGAATTTAAAAAACGGGCTGCTTCCCACTTAGTTTCCATAAATGGACTGAATGTACTGAGAAGTGAATGGTACATCTGGAAACCTTAACAACGTTTACATCCTACACCAAACACCACGATGAGGAAAACATGATAGACCTTTTAATTTATTGTTAGCAAGTTCACTTCAATGTGCATATTTGGCTGTCATTTAGTTGACCTAATGTCTTGTACATGTTCCTCAACACACCTGGAACAAGAGATTTGACCAACGTATCACTTGGTCGATAAAACAGGCCAATATTAAGGTTCTGTGGTCCGCACTCGTAGAAATCCCAAAGATGAAAGCTATTCTGAGGGCTATTTTAATCAATAGCCCTCAGAATAGCCCTTTTTCGTATAAAAACTAAGACACGTGTAGGTTCACCAGTCATTTTGCATCAATAATAATATGTGAACCTACACATGTCAGTTTTTATATGTAAAGTTGATAATGATAAAAATGAATTTCATTTTTATCAATAAAAAAAAAAAATGTTTTCTTTGGGGACCACAACTCCCTTTATGCACCTGTCCACCATGAACAAAATGTACTTCCCGTCAAACAGCTCCGGATGATTTTGTTTACAACTTAATTATTTAATTGTGCAGAATTTTGGAAAACAATTAAGTTCCCCTTAAAGAGCATGGCTGAGTTTTTAAAGTCACAGGACATTTAGTATACAGGATACAGCCAGTATTATATTTTTTATTATCTATTATTGTCAGTTTCTGCGATATTCTGAAGAACAAAAATGGATAACAATCACATGAATCAGTAAAGCACTGACTTACAAAATCTGCAGGAATGTTTAATTATGTCCAGATTAAATTATACTCTGATATTAACAGCATTGTTAGCTTCTTAAAATTAGTTTTAATACAACTGGAACAAACCTTAAAGCAGGAGGCACGGTACAAGAGCTGGACGACATGGCCGATGCTGGTCTTAGACGCCTGAGGGAAGCGAGCTTCCAACTTCTGGACCACGAACAGGACCAGAACCTTCCGTGAGAGAGCAGAGCCATCCTCAAGAGCTAGCAGTACGAGCTTCAGTGCGTCTTCCTGCATCGCTGAAACATGAAACATGAACATACGCACAAAGAGGTTAGCGCTGAGACAAACACTGTTCAGGTAAAATGTGGGTAACTCTTATGCCTGGTGTTCTCAGACTATAAAAACTCATTTTTGAGATCAGGTGAGAGGTGTTCTCCCACTCAGAATCTGCCCTAAGAGTAATCATCATTGACACCAAGCAGCGTTACAGAGCCTGATCAAAAATTATTTCTAGCCAAGTTATCTAAGCCTGGAGCTTCACCACAGCGAGGTCTATGAAGTCTATGACATCCCTGTTCTACCACACCTGGTTTTTGGTATTCTGCTGACAGTATGCAAACGTTATGAAAATATTTTCTACAGTGGTTCCCAAACCTGGTCCTACGACCGCATTACCAATCAATGTTCAAATACGTTTTTAAAACAGCATTTGTGGTTATTGCTGGTGATAACAGCATAAGGGTGTAACAACTCACAAAATGCACTATATAGTAAACTATATAGTTTGATACAGCAACCCAATGTTTTTTCCTACAGCAAAACTTGAGAGTAGAAGGAAATATGGCTAATGTTAAGGAGCCATATCTGAATCTCATGTTTTAAATGAATGAGATTTATGTAGTAACTAAATACTGTTTAAGTTTCAAAACTGAGCATTTACTCCTCATACATGTTAAAAAAACAAAAACAGCCTGTGGTGTGATGTCACACAAAACATCACATTTACATATATCCATCTATTCAGCCCACTGTCCTTTAGCCCTGCCCATTCACAGCAAAGCTACACAGAATGTTCCAACTCAGACGACAATTTAAATCAAAGAAAGGCAGTCTATCAGAACTAGGCTCATTTACATATACTGATATTAAAGGTACAGCAACAAAAAACAGTCTACTTGGTTGAGATGGAGAAAGGTTGGAAAATAGTCATGTAAAAATGTACTTTTTGGCACATAAAACCACGTCATAAATGGATCAAGGACAAAAAATAAAAATAAGGTACAATATGGGTCTTGCAATGTGTTTTAATTTAGTGTACAAGAGCACTTACACAATATAAAAAAAAATTACACATTTGTGAGACCTTAGGATGCCACAGTGTAGTCCTGGCTGCTCAGCAGCATATAAAAACTTCATTTAAAATTTCATAGATTTCTAAGCTAATGTGCTAGCCATGAGCTAAGATGTGAGCCTAAAGCTAATGCATAAGTCACAGTACGTATCATCACAACACAAAAGACATCACTATTATTACACCCCTATAAAAAAAGTCATTCTTATTAGAATATTTAAGTTTACGTTAATTATTTGTTACTTGCAACTGACTGAGAAGCAGTGAAATTCTGCCGAAAGTGCGGAATCTAATCAAAGTAGAAAGATATTTAATCATGATTTGATCATGAAGTTATTGTTGTAAGTACAGTCCTGCCCTGCACATTTTGGTACTTTCTCTAGTCCAACACATCCACTTCAGTTCACAAAATGTTTGTTAATGAGCTGGTGAGTTGGATTAGATGTGTTGGAGAAAACACCTAAACATGCAGGCCAGGGAGCAGGCCTAGGGACCACTGGTTAAAGGTCAAAACTTAAAGAAATTCCCAAGCATGTGCAGTTAGACTCACCAGGCCCAAGGAACTGGCAGCCTCGCGCCCTCACTGCAGCCCACAGGTTAGCAGAAAGCTGCTGGGGGTTTTGGTGCTGGAGGATAAGCTCTGTGACTGTTCTCTCGCCCAAAGACCGAGCAGCTCGCACCGCCCGCATACGTCCCTCCTCCTCCACCAGCTGGCAGTTCACCAGTGTTACCAGCTTCCTCTGCATGGGTCTGCTGAGGGTGCTTGGACTCAGAGCCACCACACCTTACAGAGAGAGGATAAGGAGAAGAACTCTGAGCTACAGTCCATGTTTAAAAGTTCAAGATGGTCATTATCATCAGCAGCATTATTAAACATACGCCTGGTGCATGTTACACTAACAAGAAGTATTCAATAAGCAACCATGGCCACAATTTTGTTTAAATGTTTTAAAACTTAGAAGTGGCGATCACTGGCAACAAGTAAACATGGTGTAATTGTATCTGAATTATGTCTCACTTGCATCTAATTGAAACAAGTAAGGAATTTCTGTTGAAAATGTAAATTCTATATTTTCAGTCCAAAACACATTGGTGTTCACAAATAGGAGATATTTTAGCATAATTTGAACTTGCACTACAGAATGTAAATGACTTACTATGTAATAAATGTTTAAATACTGAAATAATAGAAATCAAATGCATAGTTAAACAACAACAATAAATGCCAGCCTTCTAAAGGTTAAGCTGATACAGATGAATTGATGTGTAATCAGTAACGGGCCTACAGTAACACCAATTCCTGACTTAGCTTTAAGAGGCTACAGTGAGGCAATCCTGAAATGGGGCCTTTACTCAACAAATGGGGACACAGTGAGGCTACAGGTCTGCTGTGCACAGCGAATGAGCTTTCTAATTGCACTATAAAAAGACACCAAAACTACCTCTTCAGTCAGACAGGAGATCCTGCAAATGTTTTGAGGTTATCTGGAGCTCTGTGTTGATGCACGACCAAAAACACAGGGGATGTGTTCCTAATTTGCAAAGCATTTTGTAGCATGTTCTTAATAAATTGCTCTGCAACAGGCAGAATACACCAGGGGCTCTTTGTAACCTCTATAAAAGAGGTAATATTACATCTAAGCATTAACTAGCATACATACACACACAGTTGTATGCAAAAATTTGGACAGACCTGTGAAGACATTATGTTGATTTTCTCAGTGAAAATAAGTCTTTACAGGTAACAAAATTATGCCATTTTACTGCAAATGTAACATCAGGAAAATTAAATTAATTTTTTTTTTTTTCAGAAAATGTTAAACAGTACAGTTGTAAGCAGTGTAAGGCTGTTTAAGGTAAGAAAGAGCAGTGAGAGAAAAAATCTATTGTGAAATGACAATTCTAGAGGGTTCTAAGGGTTAAACAAATGGTCTTCACTGCAGCAATAATTCCTTAATCAATCGCTGCTAATTCATTGAGAGGGTCATTTTTAAAACCCATGACTTGGTAATCGAGTTAATCAATTAATCGTGACTGCTCTACTGAACAAAAGGACTGACTTTAAAAAATTAAGGCTGCTCTTAAGTCTGAAGTGTGAATTTTGGACGAGACCACATTTTCCGCGGCCGGCTGCAGCGCGCTGTATCTTTGCTATTCGCCATCTCTGACGCACAAACCCCAACCGCACACAGTGGAAAACAGGAAACGCTCAATTCTGCACACACGTCCACTGAACCTCTACAAAAAAAGGGCACTTAATGTGGCACACTCTCACTGGCAGACAGAACTGCAAGCATGCAAGACACTTTATCTCTCACATACAAAAAACCGCTACCTTTTCCTCCACTGATAGGTTTGAGGTAGAGAGCCAGCTCCTCCACACACGTTTTACACACTTCATAATGCTCTGTGTCCTCAGTGCTGCCCACACACACACTCTGGCCTTCAGGAACCTGCGCATAGATATAATAATGATCATCTTATCCAGGTAAACATCTTAAACTTACCTCAAGGAACTCTTAATGTAATGTATCCAAGGAGTGGGCAGAAGTATGTGAAACAAATACAGAAACAATGCACTCATTGTTTTTGATGACTTTTTTTTTTTCTGTTCCAACTTATCAAACGTCAGAAAAACTAAATGAAGGCTTTTTTTTTTCCAAAACACTATAAATTGCTTAAGAATTCTCTTTTTTTCCATGACATCGTTGACAGTCGGCTTGACACTTTCAAGAAATATCAGAGCTCTTTTACGAGTAACATCACCTTTGGTGAAGAAATAAAAATGTGTTTATTACACGTCAGCCAATATTCCATTCAGTTCATCACAACCAAAACTGTTACAAACCGTGCCCCTGGTCTAATTACGTGTTTTGCTGATTTAAGTAAAAAAAGTTAGCACATCCTCTACAGAGAATACACTTTGGCAAATTTAAATGCACATTTACTGTTTATTTTCTGAACGTAACATATTGGGGAGGAAAAGACAAAAACATGTAGAATGTGCAAAAGTTATGGCACATTTTTTATATTTAGTTTTTTTCTCATCATTTGTTAAACTTGGCAAATAAAAAGAAACAGTGAACTAAAATAAGAAGAAATAATATTTGAGTCCCTGCAGAGGACATGTTAACTTATTTTCATGTTCTGCATACGACTGTATACAGCGCTCCAGAACAAAACTCCTCAAATATTGTGATGCACATTGTGTATCAAGAAAATATCAAATCATTGTGATGTTATATTTTTGCCATATCGTCCCCCCTATAAACATGGCCAATGCAGTTACCAAAACACAAACATACTTAAATTTAATTTACGCACATACAGGACTATACAGCCCCGAAAACACCACACACATACACAGTTGGTGAAAAACCAATCAGCTGGTAGAGCTTGCCATAACTGTTTCTCATTACATTTTTAAAAATAAAAGCTCTTGTACAATAATTGTTCCTTCAAGAACCATTCAGTAAAAAGGTTCTTTAGTTACTCTCATTTCCCCTCATAAAATGAGGCTGAATTGTGGAAGTCCCAGCTCACAAACCACTTCCACATATTAACACATACATCACGCACAAACTACTCAGTGATATAAAAGACACCCACACATACATACACTACACTGAAGAACAGGTGACACACTTTCCATCTAAAGCCCCCCTCCCACTCTCCGAGAATGCCCCTCTTATTCCTCACCAGCATCCCCTCCTACAAACACCCTGAGTGTGAAACAGCCCCCTAACCACTGTTCCCTACAATGGAAAGTCATCAGCACTACAGACCTCTGAGGTCGTGCATTACTTTGCAGTCATGTCATGACCAAATAAGGACATTGGCTCTATGAATATGTTGTTATGGGAAAAATTAATTGCATTTAATTTGTAAAAATTTAATTGCAATTAATTAATTAACTGCACTGTGGTGAGCAGAGCTGTTATCGTGCTAGCTAAGCTAATGCTAACCAGCACCTCTCTCCTCATTAGCAACACTAACACTGCAATTGTTAGACAGCTGGTTTAGCATTTATTAAGTGGAGCCTTGACAACTGCGCACTGCAATATCTTCATAACCATATAAGTGAGCTACTTTCATTGTTTTCAGATCACACAAGACAAGATGGCAAAAAAGCCTCAAACAGTTTTACATCACATATGCGCTTCCAACAGGTATTAAAAGGTATTTTAAAAGGGCATACCACCAGTGTTCATTCAGAGGCTAATGGCAAACCACAAAAAGACGAGTAATGTAAGAGCACAGTTTTCCATACACTTGCAACTTTCCCTATGTGTGTAATAAAAACCATTGATTTATCAATGATACATCTGAGACTGTGTCATATATCCTTGTTTCCATCAAAAAACGGCGGGCAAGACCGTCCAAGCTGAGTTTGGACATGAAATGTGTGTAAATAGTGACCGTCCCCCAGCGAGACCCAAAAACAGCGGGTGGGGAAACGTGGGGACACATATGAAAGGGATGGGGAAAACTTTCACTGCCAGTTAAAATGTATTATAGCACATTTAAACATCATATTTAACACTCCAACGAATACTTAACAATGAATTAGCACCATGAAACACAGACTTACAACTTGGTCTTAAACATGAGTTTAAACCGTTAGCGAAGTTACCTTAGCAGATTCCTTGCAGCTGCGTGGCTTCACACCTCTGCCTCACTTTACTAGCCTTTTTCCCCCGTGGTAGCCTCACTGCAGATATTGTTTATATTAATTAATTTCTTTAAAAACAGATTAAACACTGTACGGAAAACTGCTCCTTCTGTGGAAGCTGGCGTATGGAACACTGACGGCACAAACTGATGACACAGGTAACTTTTTTTGCTAATTTCTTTAAAAGTATTGGCCCAAATATGACCAATCAAAATGCATTTTGGTTGCTAGGCAGATTTTGCAGAGTCCAGCCAATCATTACATCCTATTTGATGTCATGTATTTCCACAATAACTACTGAAACGTGAAAAATGCTGAAGTACTGTATGAAATACTGCACTCTTACATTACTTAGTGGTCTTTTAAAGAGGAACCAAATATACGATTAAATAAAACACTTCTGTAACTAACACTGCTCACATTCCACTGAATATGCCACAGCACATTAAGGGATTCTGTGTCCAGTAAGTCTCAATGTATTTACACTACCTACTGCAGGACTTTTACAGGACTGTACGAGTGCACTGGACCTTCTCTACTATAAAATAATATGGTGCACCATGTCATAACACAGCAATGTTTTGGACATAGCGAAGTTCTTCCTCAGTCCTCTTCTCACCTGAGCTCCCACAAGCAGCAGCAGGGCGCAGTTGACAGGCAGCAGGTCGATGTCTGTGCTGATGGAGGTCTGGTCGAACGGACAGGCTTTACGGTGCAGTTTGTGCAGACACGTCTTGCAGACGGTATGCGAGCAGCCCAGGCTGATGGGCTTGTGGCTGCTGGCATCAAACTCATTGTAACAGATCTGGCAGGACAGGAACTCTGTCCACTGCGCCGCCTGCACAGGCATCCTGTCACCTACAAGGGGCGATGAAGTGCTCAGGGAGTTTGCATGCTGCCACGCCCAAAGGCTTCACACACACCTGCAGAGAAACAAGACACTGCTATTATAAGACCAGTGTTAAAAAACCTTAACTGTATTCAATAATTACACACCTATCTGAAAGCAATTCAAGTGCATACATTTGTGAATTAATCATAATAGATTCAAGAGTTTTACTGTCACACGCACAATGAAATTCTTACTGAGTTAGTCCTCCATTCAAGAAAATTAATATTTCAATAAAACATGCACATTTTAGGTTTTTTCTCTGGTAAAATAAAGAGAATATTTACAAACATGAAAGAAAAAATATCTACATTCCACTGGCGTGCAATAATTTGTTGAAATAATCAAAATCATTCAAATTAAATTTGAGATTTCATGACGCACTGACAATTCTGATCATAGAGATGTGTACAGATTCATAAAAATATAAATTGTAGGAGAAAAGACTGTTTAACAAAATGACTAGTTGACAACGTGCTTGCGTCTGAGTGGTCCTAAATTAACTCTTACAAACTTAACACCTGAGCCTCCCCTGCATAATACATGCAGGTCTTCAAGGTATTTGTTAAGTAGACAGTTATTTCGTCGTAGAGAAACTTCTGAAGCCACATTTGCTTCCCTGTAAGCAGTGCAGGCCTCGTGCCACGTTGCTATATTAGCTGCTGGTTAACCATGAGCTGGGAGACATTTGGGATTTTAGCCAAATCTCATACAGTATTCACCAACTATGGAAGCGATTAATTACAAAAAGAGTAATCTGCCAAAGAACGAGAGCGAGCGAGAGCATGCAACTGAGAAAGAACAGGAGAGGGGTGAAAAAGAAAAAGAAAGAAAGTCGAGAGAGAGAGAGAGAGAGAGAGAGAGAGAGAGAGAGAGAGAGAGAAAAGAGATTAAAGACCACGTGCACAAAGCTCTCAGTGGTGCCACCGCCGCCACTACTACTACTATTAACGTTAATAATAATAATAATAATAATAATAATAATAAACTGCTGTTACTACTATTACTATTGTTAGAACAGTAATAATAATAATACCTACAGTAATTCTAACGCGACATCAACCAACTCACCCGACTAGAGTATGAGGCCGAAACCGGCTTCCTACTGTCCAGTTTCTTGTCCGAATTATCCCGCTCCACCTTAAATGGTGCAGCAGCTCCATTCTGGCGCCTGAGGCGTCGTGAGAACTGCTGCACCATTTAAGGTGGAGCGGGATAACACAAAAAAAGCATCTGACTCCAGATTGGCCTAAACAGTAGATTCTGATCGGAGTTCAGGCTGAATTTACTGCACTCTGAAGGAAACTCACCGACACGCACGCGCTGCACGGCCGATCCACAGAACCGAGCTCACTCATGTTCGTCCCCGCTGCTGCTAAATTTAACATCACCGAGGAGTTTCACCCCCACATTCACACACTCACACACCCCTGCGCGCGCGGACCTACTGAACATGTGACAGAAACGTGCTCGAGCTCAGGGAAACTTCTTCTTCTATCACTTTACCAGCGGGGCGGGCAGGTTAAACACATTGCCCCCTACAGGCACACAGGAGAGCAGCACTGTAGGACTCCGGAATCAGACGCCTCATTAACAGAGTTTAGAGAGAGAAAGAGAGACAAAGAAAGAAATAAATACAGAGAGAGAGAAAGAAATAAAGAGAGAGAGAGAGAGAGAGAGCGAGAAAGAAAGAAAGAAAGAAAGAAAGAAAGAAAGAAAGAAAAAGTGAGAAAGAAAGTGAGTAAGAGAAAGAATGATTAAGTTAGAAGGAGCAAGAAAGAAATAAAGAAAATAAGCAACAAAAAAATGAAACAGAGCAAGTGAGATAAGAGGCAAAAAGAGAGAGCAAGCAAGAGAAAAATAGACAGAGAGAGAGAGAGAGAGAAAGAGAACGCCAGAGAAAGGAAGAGAGCAGGAAAGAAAGAGTGAAACAAGACAAGGAGCAATAGAGAAAGAAAAAGAGAACAAGCACCATAGAGAAAGAAAGAGAAAGGGAAATAAAGGAAGAGAGAGTAAGGAGGGGGAGAGAGAGAGAGAGAGAAAGTGAGAAAGATAGAAAGAATTATTAAGTTAGAGGGAGCAAGAAAGAAAATAAGCAACAAAGAAAAATGAAAGAGAGCAAGCAAGATAAGAGGCAGAGAGAGAGAGCAAGAGAAAAATAGAGAGAGAGAGAGAGAGAGAGAGAAAGGAAGAGAGCAAGAAAGAATGAGAACAAGACAAGGAGCAATAGAGAAAGAAAAAGAGAACTAGCACAATAGAGAAAGAAAGAAAGGGAAATAAAGGAAAGAGAGTGAGAGAGAGAGCAGCAAGGGGGAGCAAGAGAGTAAAAAAAATAAAAAAACAGAGAGGGAACAAGAGAGAAAGAAAGATAAGGAAAGAACAAGACAGCAACAGAATAAGGCAAAAAGAAAAAAAGGTAAAACGTATGAGAGAGAAAGAGAGCAAAAGAGACAAAGAAAATAGAGAAGAGAGATGCAGTTGGAGAGAGCGCTGTTTTGGAGTTAAAGACTCTCTGAACAGTGAGTAAAAAGTGCATAACGGAGAACAAGCTGTCTAATGGTCATTTTAGAGATCACATTTTTCAGATAGTTCTCAGGCTGTTGGAGGACTCAGGCTTTCATCTTATGATGGGTGGATCACAGACATTATGTTAGATATTTAAACGGAAAGCCTGGACTGCGCACGTGTTTTTAATACACCACTTCAGGCATACAGCAACATGTGGCAGTATAACTGCAATATGATGCTGAGTCCATTTCATGAGGCTGCACTCAAACAGAAATAAGAAGAGATCTCATTATTACAGTTATACTTCACTGCCCGTTAATATGAGAACTGAACTGCAGAACTGAAGTTTACAATATCAAAACTGAACTGCAGTCTAAGATGCTAGACGATGTCATGGAAATACAAGGCAAAACAAAACATCACTCAAAAGTTCAGCGTAGGCAAATATTCAGGAAGTGACTGTACATTGTCTTGTGAGCACAGTGCATGCGACTAAAACCATAAAGCATGGTGAACTTAACGCAAACGGTAGGTCTGCTGTATCCAGATAGCTCTAAATTTGGGTACAACAGGCCTCGTCTTAAACAAGCAAATGTTTAGTGTTACACAGTCACTACATTACACATGCATGTCAAAAAATGAGAAGTAAAAATTCACTCGCACCTACCAGCCTGTACACAGCAGCATCCCAAGTGTTAAATTAATACCTAGAACATTCATGTAAGTTAGCTGGACACAAATAAACACTGAGTTAAAGGGAAATTTCACAGATTTTTCCAAATTTCAGCATAATTTGATCACTGAGATGTCAACAAAGTCATTCAGAGGGCTTTGGTGTGAAATGGCTCATTGTAGAAAACCTTAATGACTGATTTCTTCACAGTGGTGGTGATAGAAACCAGGGGTCACAATGTCTACAACACAAATATAGTCATTTTATTTTAAAATCCAAAACCGCCAGTGAGCCTACACACGTCTTCTAAGCTTTTATCATGTCATGGTGATGATGGTAAAAAAGTTAACAGATACGAAACAGTACATTTTCTTTGGGGACTACTTTGCCTTACGGCACACTGCATGTCTCTCTCCCCCATGAATGCATTTTATATATATATATATATATATACACACACACACACACACACACACACATCAGGTGCCAAAGTACTGCGATCAGAGTTAGCAATCCCGCATTAGCAGCTACTCACGTTCCTATTTGAAGACAATTCACCAACAAAAATGACCGTGCCAACTCATATAGTTGGTATAGTGTAGTGGGTAACACCTCTACCTTCTATGCTGTAGACTGGTGTTCAATCCCTGCCTGGGCAAGCACTCTACACTATACCAATAAGAGTCCTTGGGCAAGACTCTTAACACTACTTTCACCTACATGTGTAAAATGATCAAATTGTGAGTTGCTCTGGATAAGAGCATCTGCCAAATGCTTGTCCAAGTTCTGTTTCAGGAGCTCAACCTAGACAGGCATCTAGCACAGGTATAGCTGTATGTTACAGATATAATGTTAGTGCTAAACATTTAAATATTAAACATGATTTGTCTGTGATCTACCTATGATAAGATGAAAGCCTGAGTTCTCCAACAATCTGAGTACCACCTGTAAAATGTGATCTCTAAAATGAGCGGTCGAAAAAAGCAAAGTGGTCTGTTCTCCTGCAAGTGGCTGAAACAAACCAACTGATGGTGCTGTTCGCCACTGCCACTGGTGCCGGGTTGTTTACATTGCCTGGAAGATGCTACTGTTTTGGAGCATTAATCTACTACTGAAATGAATTAATTAATGTATATATATATATATATATAAATACGTGTACTGATTAGAACACAGGACAGCACTTTTCTGGGGCATATCATTTTAAACCATGTTGACAGTGACTTTCAGCCACACCCACTTTCAGTTAGTAACCGAAAAGAAGGTACTGAAACAACTACAGCAATTGGTATTGCTACTGATATATAACATTTTGGAGGTATACCCATTCTCAGGGTTTGACCAATTTTTAACCATACTGCCCAGCACTACATGAAACAACAACCAAGTAAATAAATGATCCCTTCCATTAATAGGTGGTCCTAATTATACCTCAAAATGACACAGAGGAAGTATGACATAAAGCGAGACACCCCTGACAGACAGTTGCTTGTGTTTTATGGGAGACCCCCCACAACACCCCCTCAAAGCTGGCAGATATAGAACCTGAGCCCCAGGAATGTTAAGGGTACTGGGTGCAGGAGTGAGGGGGGATGAGGGGTGCAGGCGTCTCGCCATTTCCAGATTGGCTCTTTGAGTGCATTGCAACAGGACTGCGACCGCTGTGTTAGAACATCCTGTCCCTGCACGGCCAACACCCCCCACTCTAACACACCCTCATCAACATGAACACACACACACAGAGCACCACTGAGACACACTCCAAAAAAATTTTTTATATATATATATATATATATATAGACCGCCAGATATTTCCATTTAATCAAATATAGCGCCATTAATGAAGTTGTTATTGCAACTAAACATGCATCCACAATTAACATTAACATATTTTCAGTTGGCTATATTACTCACTTGGCAACTCCTAGCTAATAATAATAACAATTGGTAATCATCCTGCTGAGAATCCTGCCTTTCAAAAGGGCAAACTCTCACTGAAATTCTTAAAGGGGAATTATACATAATTTTTCAAAATTTCTGTATGATTTAGTCATTGAGATGTAAACAAATTCATACAGAGAGTTTTCATGTGAAATGGTTAATTGTAGAGAAACTTACTGACTTGGATTTCTGTACAATGGCAGTGATAGGAACCAGAGGTTGCGATGTGTCCAACTTAAATATAGCCATTTGATTTGATCTAAAATGGCCAGTGGACCTACACATGTCTTCTAAGGTTTTATATGCAATACGGAAATGGTAGAGGTAAATCGGGGGGGGAAGTTTTCTTTGGGGACTGCTTTTCCTAACAACCCTGCATATATCTCTCTGCCATTAATGTATTTAAATGAATGTGGTTTTGGCCAATGTAAAAGAATGTTCCAGACATCAGCCAATGTATGCCTAACCACTTCATGCAGCAACTTTCTGAGAGATGACATTTAAAACTATTAAACGCTTTAAACATCTGGTTCCCATCACCACTATTGTGAACAATTCTGATGCTACATTTCTATAGAATGGAGCATTTCAAAACAAATCACTCTGAATGACTTTGTTCATATTGTAGTGCTTAAATAATGCTAGAATTTTGAAAATTTGGTGGAATTCCCCTTTTAAGAGCTAAGTGTATCCTAGTATGCGTGAGTAAGACTTTCAAGGAATTTGCACAGCTGGGGCAGTACCATTTGGTTTGAGTCTTAAAAAACTCTTAAAGAATCTTTCGCTGCTGTTCTCCTGCCAGAGCACATAAAAACACTGGTAGGCTGTAGTGCGACTTATCAGTGCAAAAAGGCTCAGATGTAAATCACAACTTACAGGCAGCAGACCAGGCCTTTGTTATACATGTATTTAAATATTTATTAATTTACTTACTTATATATAATTTACATGAAAGTATATAGTTTCATAACTCACAGACACAGATATAAATTAAGCCTGTAAAAGAGCCTTAGACATTTTTATGTAACTGACATCCTACATAGAAAACTGTAATATCCGATTGTAATTATTACAAAAAAAAGGTTATTTAGTAGTTTTAAAATATTATATTTTTTTATTGTTTTTTTTAAACATTAAATATTTTTAATTTAAAAATATTTTTATTCCAAACCATACATGCCTTATTTAAATACCCAATTACGTAAAGAGAATACTAAGATGAGTTTGGCTCTCAGTATATATTAGAATTCTTGTTTTTTTCTTATTTACTGCAGGTTTACAGTTCCTTCAGTAAATACTTCAACTTAAAACTAAGTAAACTAGCTAACTAACACTAACTCTGAATATTACTGGATTCGTCTAGCAGCCTATTGGTGGTTAAACAAAACCGGATTCTTAAATACGGTTTGGTATTCTTTCACAGCTTTTTCTTCATACACATGCAGCAAACATACATGTATTTGTGAGACTGAGCACATTTTCCTTCTCCAAGTTGGGTGAGACGCAAGTTTTCACCTTTTGGAGGGTGGAAAAAGTTCTCTGTCTGCTCCTCCTTCTGCCGTGCTGTTGTGATTGTTTACAAGCTTCTCTCAGAGGAAGAGCTGTATCACGTAATCAGAGAATGACAGTGTAGTGGGGGCGTGTGAAAGCAGAGCTGCTATGCACGTCTATTTGAAAGCGTCCACAATAACGTCACTGTGTATGTTTAATCCTGCTGTATACTGATTTACCGAAAGCTGGTACACGTCTACTTCTATGTAGCATCAGGACTTTATAATAAAACCTAATAAAAAATGAAGTAGGTAGATGCTGCTGCTGCTTGCTGGAATGCAAAAATGAAGTGACTGCTTTGGTTAAATACAGGTCAGATAAAACATTACTTCTCTTCTTTGGTTAATGTCAGCTTTTTGGTCTTGACTATCAGTGCAAATGAACACACAGGTCTGAAGCCCCACTGAGGATACTGCCTATAGATATGTACAGTCACTACAGTTACGTGGATGTATCGATGCCAATACATAACACACAGAGGCTTGCTCTAATATAATGAATACACTGCTCTAATATGAGGTGTAACACTCTTTTGTGAAGATTTTAACGGTTTCATTAACTAAATATGTGATTTTTTACAACTATACAAACGTTACCCACTTTTACCCATGAAGTCAGGGGTTTTTTACAATCCTGAAAGGGAAAATCCCACATATCACTGTACCATATGATTTCCTTCCAGATATCTTCCAGATATAAGGGCCAATATACAGACGCACACCTCACTCCAAACTTTACAGATCAGCCTGAAAACTAATTTACTAATTTTAAACTAATTTTAGTTACTAAATAAGTCTTAAAAGTAGCCTCTTTCTCCAGGCCCCCTAGTGGCCATTCCACACACGGAATGGGAAGCAACATGAATATTATTCATTATTAGAGTCAAATAAAAAATGAAATAAAATATCTGCCCCGTAACTGTTATCAGATTATATAGAACACTGGCTCTCTGTGTGTAAAATGTTGTGACTCTGTGTTGAGCTGCTAGCAAGCAATGAGGGTTAAAAGGGGACGGATCAGGACCCCTGCTGTTTAAACACTCCAAACCTCTTTACAAAGATGACCGTGCAATAAAAATGGCTGTAAACACAATTAAAACAATAAAACACTCTTATAAATATTGACATGCTTACTCACCTATGGTGAAAAAAAGTTACATTGAATTTACATGATTTAAATGTGTACAGTGGTTTTACACAAATGAAATGTTACACCAACTTCAGTTAAACTTACATATAGTAATTATGTTGATGTAACATATTTCATTAATATTGAGCCAATAAACACAACTGAATTGTGTAAATTTTAAGCAACCTTTAAGAAACTTTTTTTTCAGTACATGAAAATCCAGTTCACATCCGTTTTGTAAATCACAAACGTTTCCACCAATGTTACTGAAGAACAAAAATGCACAGCTCAGCTAGGTTTCCGAGTCTAAAACAGGTGGAAATCGCATTTTATAGCTAGGGTGAAAAGAGCTTCTAGAGGGTAACAAATGTTATTAAGAAAGTGTGCTGAAAAAGTAAGAAAATATAAAGTTCAGTGTCTGTTTCTGTCATCTGCTGCCTATGATATTTTGTCTTCCTGGCATTGTGGAATCTTTCTCTTCTATTTTTAATGTCATCAATTCAAACTTGATCAGACTATTTTTAACACTTATTTTGTGAGGACAATAAAAGGTTTTATGTTTTATGTTGAAATTTTCTCTTATCCATTTTTTTTTCAAATATTATAACAAGATAATAGAGCATTCATAACCTGCAAGAAGACATTATTTACGTGAAAGTGAAACCAAACTCAAAAAGCAGCTAGACGTTTTGCTACAAAGGGACATTTCCTCCTTCAACCTCAATTATTATGTGGCTCGTATGATTGGAAAAAGAGAGTCATATGAGAAAAGTACAACACTTTTTTCCTGTAAGACAAGCAATTTCATGCATACTGTCTGAAACTGCTTAGATTTCAATCCAAACTGCTTTTCAAGCCTACTAGCCTGAGTGTCTTGTTTTTTGTTGTTTTTGTTTTGTTTTTTGAGGCAAAGTCCTGTGCAGGACTTTTCAGATAGGAACACGGTGGGTCCACAAAGCTCTGAATCAAACTTCATCTATTTACAAACTATCAGCTGCATGTATAGACCATTTTTACAGCCAAACCAAGGGTGTAATGTTCATGAACAAACAACAGTTTTCTGAAACTAATGCACATCTACATGTAAAGTGGAATTCCAACGATTTTTAAAATTTTCATAATTCAGTAATCGAGATGTAAACAAAGTCATTCCTGATGGTTTGAGGTGAAATGGTTCATCGTAGAGAAAATTTACCAGCTAGGTTTTCCTTACAGTGGTGGTGATGCAGTAACCAGGGGTAGCAATGTAAAAGACTCAAATATAGGCATTTTATTTACTATCTAAAATGACCAGTGAACGTACAAGTGTCTTCTGAGTTTTTATATGTAATGCTGACGATGGTAAAATAGTTACACTGGGGATTATATTGCCTTAGAACTCACTACTTCTACCCTTTCACCATGAATGCATTACAAAAATAATTTTTTGATCTGATCTCGAAACTGGGCATCAGGTACCCTATTCTTAACCACGTGCCTTTTAGGACGCACTAAACTCTTCAGATGTCTGGTTCCCATCACTGCCACTGTGAACAATTCTGACTGGACAAGTTTACGTAGAACAGAGCATTTCATACCAAACCACTCTGAATTCACTTAGAACCATGAGTTCTACATACATTTCATACTTTTACATTTTTCTTTGAATAAGATACGGGTACAAGCCTGACACTGTAACCCTTTTTGCTGCTATATAGACCAAATTTTCAAAAAGGTTCTACACAGAACCATATACAACACGCTCTCCACCAATCTGTGGAACCATTTCACCATGTAAAGAACAACTTAAGCATGCAAAATGGTTCGTTGAGTGTTCATGGTTCTATACAGACCCATTGTCTTTACTAAATAATCCCTAAAGAACCATTTTTAAACGTATGTATTATATATGTATGTGTTATAGAGAAAGTTTGAAAACTCGGTGGAGTTCCCCTTTAAATACAGTGAACACATACACAGGCCTATATGCACGTGCATTCGCTGCTACTAAATTACTGAAATTGCACAATCGTGTATGGCCACATATTGAGGGCTACGTGCACAGCACCCATGCCATCTTCACTCTGGCAGACACAGAGTGGCAACTTTCACTTACCCTAAGCACAGTGACAGCAGAAAATCATCAGCACCCTCTTTATCTTCATCATTATCATCATCTTCACAGTCTAGCTCCACTCCTCAAGGACAAAGGAACCCCTTATCCGAGTCCAAGTGCACATAAGACGCACTTTTTTTGTGCTTTAAAAGTCTGTTGATCTTCTCACGCTCGTCGTTTGCACGAATCTTTCTGTCAGTGCATCGCGCGCCGCTCCCGTTGGCTCATGAGG